ATGCAAATGCATGTGCTGGCTCTTCCTATGACCAGTGAGCTGCCCTCCAGAACCCTAGTCACAGGGTGTACCCTGTCAGCTCAGCCTTGCCAACCAAGTCCAACCTCTCTTACAGAGTAACCTACCTCGATTATTTGATTACAGCTAAGCTAATACAAAGGAAATCCCTGGTTGTAGGAGGTGAAGGCTGCTACAACCTTGAGCTCTTTCTACAGTGGAGGTCTGGAGATGGTTAAAAGGGACATTACATTTTGATTTTTCAATACTTGGAGAAAATTCTATAAAGTTCTAAGCAGTTCTGTGTTTATAACAAAAGACAAAGTTGCGCTTTTTTATCCCTTTCCATGCCTTCTTCCCAGGGCATCCCCCCCCCCCCATCATCTTAAACCATGTAGATTTGGTTTCTGAGATCCCTTCTTTAGGTGGGGTCTTTTGGGAGTGCTCTGAAGGAGAGGGTTGTACTGCTGTTCTCTGCCTTCCACTTCTAAGTACCTGCTGCCCCCTCCTCCCTGCTCCTTACCCAGCATGCACATCCCCTTTACTATTCTGTCCCATCATTCAGAGCTGAGGCTGCTCACTCATGCTCTGTTCCCCGGGGGTTTTTCCTGTCATGGCAGAGTTCGTTTGCATGGCTCACTCCATGTGGTGCCTGGTGTGTTCCATCCTGGAAGGTGGATGACCACCCAGCCATGGTTAGATAAGGGTGCTTTGTTGCAAGGAGTGTTGGGAGCTAAGTGTGGTAATGAGGGTACATTGGAGAGACAGAAGAGGTACGGATGAAGGGATGCAGAGGGGAGCTCCGGAAGATGTTCAGGAAGGCTATATTTCCTGTGTTGGATGGAGGGTGCACGGCAGGAAAGCTGGGTGGGGGGCAGGGCTGTGAGGTGGGGTTGAGACAGCAGAGAACATTTACAACTGTGTGTTGGACTCTGCAGCCCGGGACTCCCCTTTGCCTGCCTTATTTTGTCTGGCTATCTTGGGAAACTGGGATCTGGAGCCATCCAGACAGGACTGTGTGAAATCTTGCCATGAGTGACCAAAGAGGTGGGGGATATCTGGTCCTTTCCCATGCCGCCAGAGTGTGAATCTACTCATCAGAAAAGTGATGTCAGTGTCTTGTTTCCTTTGCCTGCGCCAGTTTAGAGCTGTTAAATCCTGTTGTAGGTCATTGTTCTGTTGCTTCGTGTTCCCTGAGCTGCTCCAGTGCCTTCTCTGTCTTTACTGGCTGTGCTCCAGTTGTTCTTTTGTAAACGCCTCTTCAGTGGTGCTGCTCTGGACTCCACAGAGCTGTGGATGCCAGCCTGCTCCTGTGCTTCTGTCAGACTCCTCGCCTGGTGTAATCGTATCTCAGCAGCAGGCTTCTGTGTGCATAGGATGAGAATTTGAATTCTCGAGCAGAAAGATGAGTTCAGACCAAGCATCAGCATCCCACCCAGGTAGACTGGAGTCCAATCAGGCGCTGGCTTTCTAGTCACCACCCTGGATGCATGAATAGATTTTTGTTTATTTAGTGACTCAGTTTGATACCCAGAGAATTGCCCCAAGATACTAATCCACACTGGCACAGTTTAATCTCTTTTTTTCTATTCCAGTTGAAAATAACATACTTTCCTACTTCCTCCTGGTTTCCCATCTCACATGAACCATTCATACCACTTCCCACAGAGCTCTCCACAAGCATAGCTACCCATATGCAATCTTTGCACATGTGTAGCCATTTACAAGCATAGACTTCAACATGCATAGCCTTCTCCTATGTATAGACTGCCCGTTCACATATCTTCCCGGTGTATATCTTGCTCACATTCCCTACATGTATAGCTTCAATACCAGAGTTTTAGGAAAAATCCCCTCCCAGAGTGGCATATTTGTTACAATCTATGCGCCTTCACTGACACATTCCTGACTGGGAGACATATTTGTTACAGTCTGTATTCTTTTCTTTTTTTTTTTTTTTTTTAGTTTTGTAACAGTCTGTATTCTTACATGGACACATTATTACCACTTAAGCCCAAAGTTTCCATTTGTGTTCTGTGTGTTTGTTTAAGCCTTTAATAATATGTATCCACCATTATACAGGGTAGCTTTTCTGCCCACAAAGTGTTTGTGTCCTGATGAGCCCTCCGCTGTCTGACCTGACCCCTGGAAACCACTGACCTTTGCTTTCTCCATGGTTTTGTCTTTTCCTAAATGAGGAGGAAGCTCTTTTACATTGCATTCTTTCATGCATTTGAGGTTATTCCTTGTCTTTTCATGATTCAGTTGCTCATTTGTTTATTTTTATTTTTATGTATGTATGTATGCATGTCGTGTCTGTGTGTGTGTCTGTGAGCAGTGTGTGTACATGTTTGGAGCTCAGAGGTCAACATTGGCTGTCTTCCTCTAGTGCGCTTCACCTTATTCTTCTGAGACAGGCTCTCTCACTGGATCCAGTGTGTGTACATGCTTGGAGCTCAGAGGTCAACATTGGCTGTCTTCCTCTAGTGCGCTTCACCTTATTCTTCTGAGACAGGGTCTCTCACTGGATCCAGTGTGTGTACATGCTTGGAGCTCAGAGGCTGTCTTCCTCTAGTGCGCTTCACTTTATTCTTCTGAGACAGGCTCTCTCACTGGATCCAGGCTTACCAGGTGACTAGACTAGCTGGCCAGTAAGTTCCAGGGATCCTCCCGCTCTTCCCTCTCCCTGAAGTACCAGGTAACAGACATACACCACCATGTCCAGTTTTCATTTGGATGTTGTGTTCTGAACTCAGGTCCTTAGGTTTGTACAGCAGGGAACTTCCTGATTGAGCCACCTCCCTAGGCTCTGATAAAATAGATGTCTTTTTTTGTTTCCTTTTTCTTTTTCTTTTTCTTTTTTTTTTTTTTTTCTGTTTGAGACAGGATTTCTCTGTAGTTTTGGAGCCTGTCCTGGAACTAGCTCTTGTACACCAGACTGGCCTCAAACTCACAGAGATTCACCTGCCTCTGCCTCCTGAGTGCTGGAATTAAAGGCATACGCCACCACCACTGGCCATAAAATAACTTTCTTAATGAATGTTTGTGTTGGGAAGTCTCAGTTTGTTTCCTTCATCATTATTTCTGTGTGAATTGGAGTTCAACTGCTGAAAGTTTTTCTGTGTGGCAGAAAACATAATACATGGCAGGAAGCATCTCCTGAATTAAATGTTGCCCTTCATAATTTCCATGTGCTTCCATATGCATGGTACCTGCAAGGTTAAAAGTTGAATGTGGGGGTTTAGCTTTGAATGTGTATCTTTGTTTTAACACTCACACACGTAAGGCACAGAAACCTTGTAGAAGAAAGACCAGAAAGATCGTAAGAGCCACAGGATCAGGGAGTTTGCTCTGAGATTATGTCGCCTAGCAACATTAGAAGCTATACCTATAATGTCTGACCAACATGGATGCCCAAACATGAGCAGAACAAAGATAACACTTACGAGCAGACCAAACTGGACAAGCAAGAGTCCACAGGGCCTCAACTGAACACAAAGAATTATAGGCAGCTGAAGAAAGCTGGGGGTAGGACTTGTGGTCTTTCCCAGGGAAAAGCATAGCAATTGGCTATTCAGTGCTAAATAGTCAGCCCTAAAAACATGCATACAGGCAACATTGGATGAGCTCAACAGGTTATGCTTAGGTATATATATATATATATATATATATATATATATATATATATACACACACACACACACACACATGCATGCAAAAAAACAATTATTGAAAAAATAGGTCATGAATTTGAAGGGGAGTGGGCAAGGGCATATGGGAAGGTTTGGAAGGAGGAAAGGGCAGGGAAAAATGTTATTAAATTAATTAAATTATAACCTGAAAAAAAGAATGAAGACATGAGGCTCAGTGGGTTGAATAATAACTCTAAGATGATTACATAGCACTTACTGACAGTTGGGAGAAGGAAACAGAGTTCCCTACTTTCTGTATGTGTTTACTACATGAGTGTGCACCATAGAAGACTCTTAGGCCTAAATAGTACTCTAGATCACTATTTAGTTTTCCTGGTTGATATATAATACTTGAAAGGTCTTCTTAATCAAAAGGTTTGGAATGTTGTGTTGGAGATCCATAGAACATTAGCCTTAAGGCTTTTCATTCCTTATGTTAAGTACAAGATGAGTTCTTGAGATCACTGTTTCTTGTTGATAATGCTTTAGAAATACCTACATACCTGCTTTGGATGTATAAAGATGGATATCATTGGGATCCTAGTTTTTCATTAAGTCAAAGGGGAAATCCCTGGCCTGATGCACGGAACTGGGATCAGAGGTACAGAACCCAGTTTCTGCACACAGGTTTCACTCGCAGTTAGTAAGCTGCTGGCAAAAGGAGCTATATCCTTTCCGTGTAAGGAATTCTATTTTGTGTTCTTGTAACGGCCCTAATATTAAGCACTGAGGTGTTGGAGTATTCTAATTGAAATAACTGCTAACATCACCATTGTAATGATTTTCCTTTATACTGTTCTTTTTTTTTTTTTTTGGTTTTTTTTTTTCGAGACAGGGTTTCTCTGTGGCTTTGGAGCCTGTCCTGGAACTAGCTCTGTAGACCAGGCTGGTCTCGAACTCACAGAGATCCACCTGCCTCTACCTCCTGAGTGCTGGGGTTAAAGGCGTGCGCCACCACCGCCCGGCTCTTTATACTGTTCTTAAGTCAAGTGCTCCTTAGCTGCAAAAGTGTAATACCTTTGCCAGAGAGATACATGGATGGATGGTCTGTGCTGGGCTTCTGCATTGACAACAGTGACTTGCATTAATATTGGGATTCTTGCAAGTAGATCCAGTATCTCTTGCGATCAGAGAAAACATTTCTTAGAAATATTTTTTAAAGTGATTAAATATTTTTTAAAGTGATTAAATATACTTGGCTATTTACTGATTAGCTAGATAATATTTGCTAAAGCCAACACATTCTAAAATGTGATCATGTAGAATGAGAGATCGCCTTAATTTCACTTTTGTAACATGTTTCTCTTGCAGTGTGTGAACTTAAGTCTCCCTCTATGAGTGATTTCCTGTGGGGGCTAGAGAACTCAGGCTGGCTAAGGCACATCAAAGCCATCATGGATGCAGGGATCTTCATTGCAAAGGTTTGTGAGGGCACCGAGGAAAAGGTTAAGGGGTAGACATGAAATGAGTATAGCCTCAAAGCACAGCCTGTTCTCTTCTTATTTGCTCTCCTGTGCCCACTGCATGGGTAGCAGGGTTTGTAGGCTCCGTGTGCTGAAATATCCTGTGAGAAAGTACAGTGGCCAACGAACTGTGAGTTATCTCAGTGGTCAAACGTTAGAATGTTTGCAGGTATTCTCTCTTCTGTTGTTAGATTTAATCCTGGATGAAGGAAAGAGTTTTCTGTAGGAGATCATACAACTCATGGGAGTCACCTCAGTGATGGGGGTTTGGCTTCCATCCAGTAGATCCTGCTTTTCAGTCAGGATTTAAGCATCTAAGTCATGCCGCAGTGACTAAGCAGGATCAAATCAAGTCTCTTACAGAAGTGACATGCACACACTTAAGCATGTAAATGTATAACTCCAGTTACTGACAAATGTTATATAATTGCCACATTTTCCAGTTTGTGTTTTCTGCCAAGATAGCTAAAGATGTGTGCATATATTCGGCAGCAGATAGGATTCTTTCCTAGCATTTTCTGCTATGGTCTTTGCCTGTCCTTCCTCTGGATGTATGCCTTGGCCCTTCTCCTTTTATTTGTAACTTCACAATTTGATAAATTGGATTTCCATACCTTTCCCTTTTAGAAAAGGCCTGTACATTTCGGTAAGACTTAACCCCAACATTTCAGTAAGATTTAACTTGGGTTGCAGGTGCGTTGGGGGACATACCATAAAAGTGTGCACACTTGTATTCGGTCCACTTGTTACCTTGTGGAGAATTGAAGGTTGGCTGTTGAACGTAGTGAGAGGGACAGAAAAGCTTTGGTCACTGGCTCTAAGAAGGTTGGGCTGAAGTGCTAACTCTAGTAGTTCTGTTAGCTGTAGCCAAACCTAATAGTCACTCTAATTCTTTGCCATTTCAGGCAGTTTCAGAGGAAGGGGCAAGTGTCCTTGTCCACTGTTCTGACGGCTGGGACAGGACTGCCCAGGTGTGCTCGGTGGCAAGCCTGCTGCTGGACCCTTACTATCGGACTGTGAAGGGCTTCATGGTGAGTCTGGTGACAGCCTTCCTGAGAGAGCCTTGCACTTCCTGAGAGAGCCTTCCTGAGAGAGCCTTGCACTTCGTTTTTGGAATCTTGTGACTGTTTTTCTTTCCAATCAATGTTATTCTTCTCTTACTCAATCAGCAAGGTTAACTAAAGGGGAGAAATTGAAAAAGATTTGAAATAGATTTATTTTGAGGATGTTGAGACTAGTATAGGTCAATGCTGTGTGTGAATTCAGGAGCAATATAAAATATATTTAGAAGTTTGGAAACTAATGATTTTTATACATAGTTTGTTTACAGATATCTCAAGTTGGGGCAGTGTATGACTGTATGACAGAAAACATGAGCAAAAATATTTGGAAAAATTTTCTGCATTGTATCTATTTCTGCATGTGCAAATAGTACTTGGGGGAACAACAGCAACAACAAACAGCGGCATTCATTCCTAAGTCTGTTTTATAATGGTCCTTGATAGCACTGGATGACATACTGAATTTCTAAGTGTTCTCCCTTTTCGCTGGAGTCAGGAGTACATCTTTGAGAGCTGGAACCTTTTGGGTGCGCATCACTATTTGACTCCAGCTGCAGTTGCCTGGGTGTGAGGTTGTGGCTGGGCTGGTAAAAGTCTTTCAAATGACTGGAGGACTTTCCAGTAACTGGCTGACCTCGTGCCTGCTCTTGAACCATAATTTGATAGAAAGTGCCTAGGTGGATCTTGAATCTGCTTGAGATAGAAGTTAACAGGAGCTCCACAAAATCGTCTGTATCACTGGACATTTGTTTAGTGAGTTACGTCAACTGTTTCCTTGGGGACAAGACAGAACAGGCAGGCTACTTGTTGAAAACATACTACTTCAGACATTTGAGGTGCGCCTCTGCCTCAATGTTTTTTTGAGCAGGCTAGGTTGCTTTGTTTAGCTGGAGAATGTAGGGTTTCTTAGCTACATACTCTAGGAATCTTTCCACATTAAGCCATTGAACATATGTAATACATTTAGAGTTGTCAAGGGCCAACTTCAGCTCATCCATGTATTTCTAAAGCGATATTGATGACTTATGCCATTGCCCATGTGCGCATGGGACTGCAGACTGCTTGAGTGAGGATTGGGACCAAACTCAGGTCTTCTGCAAGAGCTGTACACACACTCCAGACCATGGTTAAACTTTTTTTTTTTAATCTACACTATTTCAGATAGTAAACTCATGGTAGCCCTAATTTCAAAGCAAGGCTGAAATTTCAAACATAGTTCTTAACCCCATGATTTTAGACTTTTAAAGAAAGTATCCTTTACTTTTTGTTGGCAGGGAGGGATTTTACATTGTAGGCAAAGAACATTGTATGTTGGTTAACAAATAAGGTGAGGAATAGGGAGGCCTAGGATATTACATACTTCCTAAGTTCATGTCTCTGGAGACTATTTCATCTGTCTTTAGCTTCTCTTTCTCTAAAATGATGGGTAACAACGGCTGTCCGGCCAACGCAATGACATGTGAAGCCATAAACACAGTGCCCGGCACATAAGAGAGAACTCCGGGTAGAGTTACTGCAGTTTGACGCATGTATTTAAGTTTAATTTTCATGTACAAGGCCTTCAACTTTGCCCCTTTTAAGTAATCCTGGATATCATGGTTCTTTTGAGATTGATTTCTTATTGTTTTATACAAAGTTTCCCTGTGACTGTGTCTGTGCACCATGTGCTGTAGTAATAAGAGCAGCGGGGCTGCATCCCCAGCACCCCGGCAGCCTGGCTAGCTTATGCTCCGAAATAACAACACACAAACTGTATTCTTTTAAACACTGCTTGGCCCTTTAGCTCTAGCCCTTACAGGCTAATTCTCACATCCCGATCAACCCATCTCTAATAATCTGTGAGCACCGGTCTTACCGGGAAAGGTTCAGCATGTCTAACCTGGCGACTTGCTTCATTGCATGCATCTGCCTGGGAGCAGGGCATGGCGTCTCTCCGAGGCATCTGCTCCCGAGAGGAGAGCTGTAGAGTCTGAGCTCACTTCCTCTTCCTCCCAGCGTTCTGTTCTGTTTACTCCTCCCACCTATGTTCTAAGCTATGAGGCCAAGCAGTTTGTTTATTAACCAATGAAATCAACAGATTGATATATGACACTCCCACATCAATGTGCGTGTGTAACTGGAGTTACACAGTTGTCATATGGATCCTGGGGCCTGGGACTGGGTTCTCTGAAGAGCACTAAGTGTTCTTAAACTAATGAGCCCTCTCTCTGTCTGACGACATATTCTATCACTTAGGGTTTCTTAAGCTCCAGTAAATGAGTACTTTAGTATTAGTATGGTTTTCTATGTTTCCCTCAGAAGCTTCCAGGATATTTATATTGTTTTTGTGTGTATATATGTTTAGGTATTAATTGAAAAGGACTGGATTGCCTTTGGACATAAATTTAATCATAGGTAAGAAATACATTTTTTCTTTTATTGAAAATAGTTTTTTTTAATAACTACATACTGATTGCCATTCCCTTTCCTCTGCTTCTCCCAGTTAGTTCCTCCTCACATTCCCTCCCATCTGTATCCACCACTTCCTTTCTATCCTTAGAAAGCAAATAGGCATGTAAGGGATAAACAAAATATAAGATAAAATGAAGCCGGGCGGTGGTGGCGCACGCCTTTAATCCCAGCACTCGGGAGGCAGAAGCAGGCGGATCTCTGTGAGCTTGAGGCCAGCCTGGTCTACAAGAGCTAGTTCCAGGACAGGAACCAAAAAGCTACGGAGAAACCCTGTCTCGAAAAATAAAAAAAAAAAAAGTGCTCTGTATTATTAATCTAAGTTCAAATGCAAAGTTTAAATTAAAAAAATATTCTTTGTCCATAAAAAGTTTTCTGTCACACATATTCTCTTTTCTATTCAGACTTCATTAAAGTTTATTTTCCAATTGGAATCTTAAAATTTATTTTTCTACTTCATCCAAAGTTTGTAATATCTATTTAGGAATTAAAGTTGCTTTATGATTATCTTTGCATTTATAGATTTCTAATAAAAAACCCACCTCCTAGGTATAAAGTCTAGAATACTATGTTTTATAGATATGGAAATTTAGATGGTGACCCAAAAGAAATCTCTCCAGTGATCGACCAGTTCATTGAGTGTGTCTGGCAGTTGACGGAGCAGTTCCCGTGCGCCTTTGAGTTCAACGAGCGGTTTTTGATTCACATTCAGCACCATGTCTACTCCTGTCAGTTCGGAAACTTCCTGTGCAATAGGCAGAAGGAGAGACGAGAACTCAAGTAAGTTTCGGTGCTCAGTTGTTAGTGATTTTGGCAGCTGAGATTTCATACAGACTTTCATAGTTTTCAAAACTTCTTGAGTTACAGAACTATTCTACATTCTTTTGCCTTTCCTGACACCATTTCATCAATGGTTTAAATGTTATCAAAGTCACTTCTCCCTGTGATTCTGCCTGAATCAGACAGGTCGGAAGACTTAACACTAATATTTAAAGGAAACTTCTGGAACTAAAGAAATTTATGTTTGCCTTAAAAATGTTAGACATTATTTGATAGACATAATAAAAACTTCAGATTAACTGGAAAAGCCTATTTGAAACTGAAACCATTAGGTTTTTAGTTTTGTTTTGGGGGGTTAAAGTCATTGCACATAGCAGTTTGATGAGTTTCAATATAAAGATATTTTCATTCAAGTAGATCCCATATGGTGACTTTTTACCCTTTCCTTAGGCCCTTTTCTTCTTCTTGACTTTTTGAGATGGAGTGTCACAGTACAGCCCAGGGTATTCTGGAACTCACGATCTTTGCACCTGAGTGCCACCACACTTGAGAACAATTCCATCTGGGTTAAATTCATTAGCCAAGGCTAGTAATATTTTAAGTGTAGAATTTTAATACCATTGAAGACTTAGGTGATTTAAGAAGTCCAAACAGAACTTTTTGAGGTACGAATAACATAAAATGATTTTAACTCTATTGTGTATGACATCCAGTTTAATTGTGGAAAAGGTCAGTTCAAATAAAGTAGATTTTAGTAGGTTTGTGCCATCTGGAGTGGAATGAAAGTTACTTTTTCTAGTATATGCTGGTTTGTTCTCTCCATGGACCTTAAAGTGTGGTTTCTGATAAATGGAGTCTATTTAGGAACAGAGTACAGGCTTCTTGGTAGAGTGGTTCCTACACAAGCATGGGGACCTAAGCTCAACCCCCAGAACTCACATTTAAAAATAAACAAAAACCACTGGGTGTAGTGGCATGCTTTTAGAAGAGAACTTTTATTTTAGGTGTATTACGTTTTGCCTGCATGTGAGAATGTGCATTGTGTGCATGCGTGATACATGCAGAAGTCAGGAGAGGTGCTAGATCCCCTAAGACTAAAGTTAAGGATGGTTGTAAGCCACCATGTGAGTGCTAGGAAGCAGACGAGTGAGAGAACCGTACTAGAAAACAAATGGCGTTTGGGAGATGGCTCAGTGGCTTATGTTTGCCCACAAACATGAGGACTGGAGTTTGTGTACAATTCCAGCCTCTGGAGGCAGAAAAGGGAACCCTGGCAGCTGTCTAGGGAGGCTGAGTTGGGGGTTTGAATAAGTGGGCCTGCCTGACAGAGTAAGGTAGAACAGTCAAGGATGATTTTTACATCTGCCCCCATGCGTGCATGCATGCATACAACCTCCTCCCTCCCCCCATATAGTGGGAATGGAAAAGGGGGGAGTTCAGTTTCTGAAGGACTCCTGAGGGTGAACGCCGGCCTCTGTCTGCAACCACAGGATACATGATTAATGTGCACATAGCAGAGATTATCCTTTGGTCTCACTTTGTTTTCTTGATAGTTTGTGGTCTGCTTATGTACTAGGATAGCTAATCCTAATGGTATCTGCTTGGCTTTTAATACTAGCTTTTCTACTAAGTATGGGATTTGGGGAGACCCATTCATTTGTCTCTTTTTTTTTTATTTTTTTTTTAAATTTTTTAATTTTTACAAGTTTCCACCTCCTCCCAGCCTCCCATTTCCCTTCCCCTCCTCCCACCCTTCTCCCCCTCCTCCCACCCTTCTCCCCCTCCTCCCACCCTTCTCTCCCTCCCCCTACTCCTCTCCCCCTCCCTCTCCAGTCCACAGAGCAGTCCGGGTTCCCTGCCCTGTGTTAAGTCCTAGGTCCTCTCCGTCCATATCTAGGAAGGTGAACATCCAAACTGGCTAGGCTCCCACAAAGCCAGCACATTAAGTAGGATCAAAACCCCCTGCCATTGTCCTTGGTGTCTCATCAGCCCTCATTGTTCGCCATGTTCAGAGAGTCCGGTTTTATCCCATGCTTTTTCGGTCACAGTCCAGCTGGCCTTGGTGAGCTCCCCGTAGATCAGCTCCTCTGTCTCAGTGGGTGGATGCACGCCTCGTGGTCCCGAATTCTTTGCTCATGTTCTCCCTCCTTCTGCTCCTCCTTGGGACCTTGGGAGCTCAGTCCAGTGCTCCTGTGTGGGTCTCTGTCTCTATCTCTATCCATCACCAGATGAAGATTCTATGATGATATGCAAGATATTCGTCAGTATTGCTCTAGGATAGGGTCATTTCAGGTTCCCAATCCTCAGCTGCCCAAGGAACTAACTGGGAACCTCATCTTGGGCACTAGGGAGCCCCTCTAGGGTCAAGTCGCTTGCCCACCCTAAAGTGGCTCCCTTAACTAAGAATTGTGGTTCCGTGCTCCCCTATCCACCTTTCCTTTATCCCAATTCTCCCATTTCCCAGGGCCCCCCTCCTTCCCTTCTACCTTTTCTCTCCCCATCTCCCCTTACCCCCATCCCAACACCCCCCAAGATCCCATTTTCTCCCTAGAAATTTGGTCTACTTCCCTTAGCGAAGAGGACAACTATATGTTTTTCCTTCGGTTCACCTTCTTCCTTAGCTTCTTTAGGTTCACCTATTGTAGATTCCGTGGTCCTTATTTATGGCTAGAAACCAATTATGAGTGAGTACATCCCATATTCATCTTTTTGGGTCTGGGACACCTCACTCAGGATAGTGTTTTCTATTTCCATCCATTTGCATGCAAAATTCGAGAAGTCATTGTTTTTTACCGCAGCGTAGTACTCTAGCGTGTATATATTCCATACTTTATTCATCCATTCTTCCATTGAAGGGCATCTAGGTTGTTTCCAGGTTCTGGCTATTACAAATAATACTGCTATGAACATAGTTGAACAAATGCTTTTGTCATTTGATAGAGCATCTCTTGGGTATATTCCCAGGAGTGGTATTGCTGGGTCCAGGGGTAAGTTGATCCCGAATTTCCTGAGAAACCGAAACACTGACTTCCACAGTGGTTGCACAAGATTGCATTTCCACCAGCAATGGATGAGGGTACCCGTTCCTCCACAGCCTCTCCAGCAAAGGTTATCCTTGGTGTTTTTGACTTTAGCCATTCTGACAGGTGTAAGATGATATCTCAAAGTTGTTTTGATTTGCATTTCCCTGATTGCTAAGGAAGTTGAGCACGACCTTAAGTGTCTTTTGGCCATTTGAACTTCTTCTGTTGAGAATTCTCTGTTCAGTTCAGTGCCCCATTTTTTAATTGGGTTAATTAGCATTTTAAAGTCTAGTTTCTTGAGTTCTCTATATATTTTGGAGATCAGACCTTTGTCTGTTGCGGGGTTGGTGAAGATCTTCTCCCAGTCAGTAGGTTGCCTTTGTGTCTTAGTGACCATGTCCTTTGCTTTACAGAAGCTTCTCAGTTTAAGTAGGTCCCATTTATTCAATGTTGCCCTTAAGGTCTGTGCTTCTGGGGTTATACATAGGAAGCGATCTCCTGTGCCCATCTGTTGTAGGGTATTTCCCACTTTCTCTTCTATCAGGTTCAGTGTGTTCGGGCTGATATTGAGGTCTTTAATCCATTTGGACTTGAGTTTTGTGCACGGTGAGAGATATGGGTCTATTTTCATTCTTCTACAGGTTGACATCCAGTTGTGCCAGCACCATTTGTTGAAGATGCTTTCTTTCTTCCATTGTATACTTTTAGCTCCTTTATCGAAAATGAGGTGCTCATAGGTTTGTGGGATAAAATCCGGGTCTTCTATACGATTCCATTGGTCGACTTCTCTGTTTTTATGCCAGTACCACACTGTTTTCATTACTGTAGCTCTGTAATAGAGTTTGAAGTCAGGGATGGTAATGCCTCCAGAAGATCCTTTATTGTATAGGATTGTTTTGGCTATCCTGGGTTTTTTGTTTTTCCATATAAAGTTGATTATTGTCTTCTCCAGATCTGTGAAGAATTTTGATGGGATCTTGATGGGGATTGCATTGAATCTATAAATTGCCTTTGGTAGAATTGCCATTTTTACTATGTTGATCCTCCCAATCCAAGAGCAAGGGAGGTCCATCCATTTTTTGGTATCCTCTTCAATTTCTTTCTTCAATGCATTAAAGTTCTTGTCAAATAGATCTTTCACTTCCTTGGTTAGATTTACCCCAAGATATTTTATGCTGTTTGTGGCTATCGTGAATGGTGAAGCTTCTCTGATTTCCCTCTCTGCTTCCATATCCTTTGTGTATAAGAGGGCGACTGATTTTTTGGAGTTGATCTTGTATCCTGCCACATTACTAAAGCTGTTTATCAGCTGTATAAGTTCTTTGGTGGAGTTTTGGGGGTCGCTTATGTACACTATCATATCATCTGCAAATAACGAAAGTTTAACTTCTTCCTTTCCAATTCGAAATCCCTTGATCCCATTATGTTGTCTTATTGCTATTGCTAGAACTTCAAGCACTATATTGAAGAGGTATGGCGAGAGTGGACAGCCTTGCCGTGTTCCTGAGTTAAGTGGGATGGCTTTGAGTTTCTCTCCGTTTAATTTGATGTTAGCTGTCGGCTTGCTGTATATAGCTTTTATTATATTTAGGTATGACCCTTGTATCCCTAATCTCTCCAAGACTTTTAACATAAATGGATGTTGAATTTTGTCAAATGCTTTTTCAGCATCTAATGAAATGATCATATGGTTTTTTTCTTTCAGTTTATTTATATGCTGGATTACATTGATAGATTTTCGTATGTTGAACCAGCCCTGCATCTCAGGAATGAAGCCTACTTGATCATAATAGATAATTTTTCGGATGTGTTCTTGGATTCGATTTGCCAGTATTTTGTTGAGGATTTTTGCATCGATATTCATGAGTGAGATTGGCCTGTAGTTCTCTTTCCTGGTTGAGTCTTTGAGTGGTTTTGGTATCAGAGTAATTGTGGCTTCATAAAAGGAATTTGGTAATGACCCTTCTGTTTCTATATTGTGGAATACATTAAGGAGTATAGGTATTAGGTCTTCTTGGAAGTTCTGGTAGAATTCTGCATTGAAACCATCTGGTCCTGGGCTTTTTTTGGTAGGGAGGTTTTTGATAACAGCTTCTAATTCTTCGCGACTTATAGGTCTGTTTAGATTGTTCACCTGGTCCTGGTTTAGTTTTGGTAAATGGTATTTATCTAAAAAAGCGTCCATTTCTTTTACATTTTCCAGTTTTGTGGCATACAGGCTTTTGTAGTAAGATCTAATGACTCTCTGAATTTCCTCTGTGTCTGTGGTTATGTCCCCCCCTTTTCATTTCTGATCTTATTAATTTGCGTGTTCTCTTTCTGTCGTTTGATTAGTTTGAAAATCTTGTTGATTTTCTCCAGGAACCAGCTTTTTGTTTCATTGATTCTTTGGATTGTTTTCTGTGTTTCTATTTTGTTGATTTCAGCCCTCAATTTGATTATTTCCAGTCTTCTACTCCTCCTAGGTGAGTCTGCTTCTTTTTTTTCTAGAGCTTTCAAGTGGGCTGTTAAGTCTCCAATATGTGCTTTCTCTGTTTTCTTTAGGTGGGCACTTAGTGCTATGAACTTTCCTCTCAGGACTGCTTTCATAGTGTCCCATAAGTTCGAGTATGTTGTTTCTTTATTTTCATTGAATTCAAGGAAGACTTTAATTTCTTTCTTTATTTCTTCCTTAATCCAGGTATGGTTCAGTAGTTGACTGTTCAGTTTCCATGAGTTTGTAGGCTTTCTGGGGGTAGCATTGTTGTTGAATTCTAACTTTAATCCATGGTGATCTGGTAAGACACAGGTGGTTACTAATATTTTTTTGTAACTGTGTAAGTTCGCTTTGTTACCAAGTATGTGGTCAATTTTCGAGAAGGTTCCATGAGCTGCAGAGAAGAAGGTATATTCTTTCCTCTTTGGGTGGAATAATCTATAGATGTCTGTTAAGTCCATTTGCTTCATTACCTCCATTAATTCTCTAATTTCTCTGTTAGGTTTCTGTCTGATTGACCTGTCCATTGGTGAGAGAGGAGTGTTGAAGTCTCCTACTATTAGTGTGTGCGGTTTGATGGCTGCCTTGAGTTTTAGTAATGTTTCTTTTACGTACGTGGGTGCTTTTATATTAGGGGCATAGATATTCAGGATTGAGACTTCTTCCTGATGAATTGTTCCTGTTATGAGTATAAAATGTCCCTCTCCATCTCTTCTGATTGATTTAAGTTTGAAGTCAACTTTGTTAGAAATTAGTATGGCCACACCTGCTTGTTTCTTAGGTCCATTTGCTTGATAAGCCTTTTCCCAGCCCTTTACTCTGAGTAGGTGCCTGTCTTTGTCGTTGAGGTGTGTTTCTTGTAGACAGCAGAATGTTGGATCCTGTTTTCTTATCCAATCTCTTAGCCTGTGCCTTTTTATAGGTAAGTTGAGCCCATTGATATTAAGTGATATTAATGACCAGTGGTTGTTAATTCCGGTCACTTTTTAAGTAGTAGGGTTTGTGTGTTTTCCTTCTTTGAGTTGCGCTGGTGAAATATCTCTAGATGACTGAGTGGGCATTGTTGGACTCCTTGGTTAGTGATTTTCCTTCTATAATTTTCTGTAAGGCTGGATTTGTGGCTACGTATTGTTTAAATTTGTTTTTATCCTGAAAAATTTTGTTTTCTCCATTTATAGTGAATGAAAGTTTGGCTGGATATAGTAGTCTGGGCTTGCATCCGTGGTCTCTTAGTTTTTGGAGAACATCTATCCAGGACCTTCTGGCTTTCATGGTTTCCATAGAGAAGTCAGGTGTAAGTCTGATAGGTTTACCTTTATAAGTAACTTGGCCTTTTTCCTTTGCGGCTCTTAATATTCTTTCTTTATTCTGTATATTTTGTGTTTTGATTATTATATGGCGAGGGGATGTTTTCTTTTGATCCAGCCTATTTGGTGTTCTGTATGCTTCTTGAACCTTCATAGGTACATCTGTCTTCAGGTTGGGAAAGTTTTCTTCTATAATTTTATTAAGTATATTTTCTGTACCATTGAGCTGCACTTCTTCTCCTTCTTCTACTCCAATTATTCTTAGGTTTGGTCTTTTTATTGTGTCCCATATTTCCTGAATGTTTTGTGATGAGAGTTTGTTGGACTTGCTGTTTTCTTTGATCAGAGTGTTTATTTTCTCTATGTTATCCTCAGAATCTGAGATTCTTTCTTCTATCTCTTGTATTCTGCTGGTTATACTTGATTCTATAGTCTCTATTCGTTTACCTAGATTTTCCATGTCCAGTCGGCCCTCTGTTTGTGTTTTCTTCTTTGCCTCCATTTCAGTTTTCAAGTCATGAACTGTTTCCTTTATCTGCTTGATTGTTTTTCCTTGGTTTCCTAGGGTATCATTCACTGATTTACTCAATTCCTCGAACTTTCTATTATACTTCTCATCCATTTCTATAAGGGCGTTTTTTATATGCTGTTTAAGGGTGTCAATCACTTGCATGAAGTCAGTTTTTTCTACTTCTTCTTGATTAAGGTGTTCATGTCCTCCTGTTCTGGGGTCACTGGCTTCTGGTGGTTTCGTGTTGTTTTTCAGATTGTTGGGAGAATTCCTGCATTGGCGTCTGCCCATCTCTTCCTCCCAATACTCCCCTTTGGATCTTCTTTTATAGGATCAGGTCTTCTTGCCCACTGATGTACCTTCCCAGTGATGTCACTCCCCAGAGATGTTTCTCCACAATGATGTTTCACTCGGTGCCCAGAACGAAATTCCACGCTGCTTGGTTAGCTCGCGAACAAAGGGCCCACCCTGTTCGCTGCGGGCAGGCTATGGGAACAAAGGAGCTACCGGCCACCCCTATGTCCTCCCGGTTCAGATTCGGTCCCAGCGCCCTTGCAGGCTGGGCAGGGAGGCGCTATGCCCCAAAGGAGGGAGGGAGACAGGGGGTGTGGGGATCTGGATGTAAGCTGAGTGGGATAGGAAGAGGTCATTTGTCTCTTCATTCAGAAACAGGAATTGTGGGTTAAATGAAAGAAAACCGAAGCATTTAGCATAGTGCTTGGAAAGTTAAGCCAATAACTGATTGAGGATAAAAACTGAATGAAACTATGTAACTGATATTTTTTTAAATACTCAGAATATGCAAACATTTTGTCAAGGCTGGTACAAACAGTAATGGAGTAAGGAGAATCCTAAGAACACTTTTGTACCATGCCAAGAAGCCACTGGCAGATGGTAACGTCACTGCTATGTATTAACGCCTCAGATAACAATTACTAGTTCTTTTCCAGCTGGAATATACTTGTTATTTAGAAGAACTAAGCTGAGTCATTTTTTTTTCTTTATAACAGGATTCAAGAAAGAACCTACTCTTTGTGGTCACACCTATGGAAGAATCGGGCTGACTACCTCAATCCTCTATTTAGAGCTAACCACAGTCAGATGCAGGGGAGCCTTCATCTGCCTACAGCTCCATGCAACTTCACATATAAGTAAGTCCGACTTCAGAAATTTGCCTCATGTGTTTTGCAATTGGCGTGACTTAACATTCAGAGGCCAAAGTGTGAACGCTGAGCTTCAAGGCTTTACTGGACATAAACCCAGCAGAGAGGATAACTGGCTCTCGGATGGTGCTATTGCTGGCAGTGCTGTTTCTCTCGGTCCACAGCTTTACACGTGCATTTCCCTTTAGAAATTGATGCTTTATCACAAGGTCCTTACAAATAAAAGTTTTCACTATGGTAATTGTTTGAAGAGGGAGAAAGGAAGGAAAATGAAGTCCTGTAGAAGTAGAATTGAAAGCACAGGTTTGGCAGAAATATTTGTCTGTGGAAACCATTGATTTTAAGATGGTATTAGGGTAGGGAGAATGGAGAGCAGGTACATGGATGTGTGCTACATGTTCTCAGTCTCTTTTCATGATAAAATGATTCCTGTCAGGCCAGAAAATGGCAAACAAACAGTTTGACACACACTGTGGGTCCTTTTCCTAAAGATGATTTTAGTCCTAGTTACATTGGTATTATTTCTGACAACATAGTCAAATATTCTATATCAAAAATGCCTGCATGGTTTGTGCAAAATAGCAATTTTTAAAACTAATCAAGACACGCTACAGTTATTTTTACTGCAACTTATTACTAACTCATAACTAATAGTGTTTTCCTGAGGCTCAGGCACTATTCTATGTGCTGCAGATAGTGAGAGCTCTTGCCCTCACGGCGCTTTTTTATAGGCATAGGGATAACCCCCATGACATCTGTTCCATTTGCATTGTAGAATGCTTGCTGTCTTGGGTAGATTTATTGAAAATGCAGTTTCTGGTGGTTATCCTAAAGTGAAAGCTGTTCCAAGTCTAAAAGCCAGCTTTCCTTTGCAGTGGAAATTCTAAATATATATCACAAATTCTCAAAGTTCCAATGATAAAAAAAATACACTAATTTGGTCTATTATAGAAAAAAACTTTTGTTTTAATTCAGTATTATATGAACTTCCTCTTTCTAAAAGAAATCAACTACCCTAGAAAAAATACCAACCTGAGTAGTTGCTTTTCCAAGCCTATAACTTGGTGATGGTTTTTAGTGTTGTTGGGCTGTGATCCTGAGGACAAGGCTTGAGATCGTGAGTTTCCAGCCTGGGCTGTGGTCTCCTTCCTCCCCAGGTTTTGGAGTGGAATGTATAACCGCTTTGAAAAGGGGTTGCAGCCTCGCCAGTCTGTCACAGATTACCTCATGGCCGTGAAGGAGGAGTCCCAGCAGCTGGAGGAAGAACTTGAGGCCCTACAAGGAGTGAGTCTTCTATTGCTTATACCATTTTCTGTGCCTGTTTGCTGAGCATTACCTTGAGGAAGACCCTCAAGTCTACAACATAAATATAGCAGCAGCCATTTCCTTTTAGGAGGTGGATAAGACAAAATAGTCTCATTTGGGTGAATACCCAGATAAAAGCCCAAACTGAAACCTGTTTAGTCATCTGTGTTAGTTTTGGCTCACTTCAGTTTGTTGAAATATTTACTGGTCAGTACATTTTATTTTTCTCATCACTGTTATTTGAAAGTACTTAAGTTTTCTTTTAAAAGGCAGGGCATGAAAATGAGAAAAAGCAAAATTGAATACGTTCAACTGATATTGCTCAACTTTTAAGAATTTCATTTGATACTGCATTGATATGTAAATAGCTTAGATTGACTGTACTTGGTATAATGTGTGTATGTATAATTTCCATTATTGGGCAGACATTGTGGTGTGTGTGTGTTTCCTGCATATCTTCATCTTCAGGGAATACTATCAATTCTGATTCGCTCATCCTAAAACTACCATTCTTCTTCTCAAAAGCTGGCAATAAATTCCTGTTGTTTGGAACCTTATGTTCAAGTGAGAATCAGTGTTTTAAATAGAATAACATGGGGCTGGGGTGGCTTGGTGGTTAGCACTACTCTTCTCCACACCCAATGGTGGTTCACCAACATAGGTAACCACAGTTCAGGGGATCTGATGGCTCTAATTGTCACAGGCTTTGGATGCGTGTAGTGCACATACTTACATTCAGGCACACATACATACATATAAAATGTTTTAAACAATTTTAAATGCAATGTGACTTTTTAAACAGTCTGATGTAGTGTATAAATAAGCATTACCATGAAGGCTGAATGCAGTGATGGTACTGGACAAGAATGTGAACTCCTCTCAGATAACAGCCTACATAAAATTGGCAAATTCAAACTGAATTTTTGTGACCAGTGGAAACTCATCTGCAGATCCCCACTATGAATTAGCGCCTAGGAAAATGGAGCTTTACAGTACAGGTATGCCAACAGTAGAGTCAGCTGGAGGTGGATGACAGTGTACTTCATAGTACACTGGAAGAAATCAGCTTTCAGGCTAAGCTTAAGGTTGTCAACATTCCTGTGTTGGACTGGAGTACTTTTGAGATAAGTCTAAATGGTCATTCTAGTATAAATGGGCCACCGTCAAAGGAACATCTGGTAATGGAGAGCTCTGTTCTGCATTGCTCTTGTACACTACTGGAGAGAGAAGCAGCTCTTTTAACTGTCAGCAGGATACAGCTTTCCAAGGACTCGGGTGCCTGAGCACCAAGCCTAGAAATCCACATTTACAAGGTTGGGTATAAAGCTGAGACCTTGGACTAAGGAATAAAATCAGAGAACTGAAATGAGCCACAGATCAAGTTTACAGTTTTGGAGGCATCTTAGCCCTTTTGCCAAAGTCCCCTCTTGTTGGGCCAATTTAATTTATTTTTTCAAAAGGTATCCAAGCTTTCTGACTCTTAGGGTCCTACTTATTATAGCATTCTTTGGTTGAAAATCATAAAATAATGTAGAATCAAAAGTACCTTAATCATAAAATGCCTATTTGTTTCTTATATAGCTAAAATTCCTTAATATTTGATATTTTACCATAAATTCCTTTAAATTCTAGTTAAATGCCCATTTACAGGACATGTTCTGCTTCCTGTGTTTGTGGCTTTCTAGCTACTGCAAGGTCCAAGCTCTGCTCTTTCAGCCTTTTACATTGCTTTTTGCTCTTTCCCGTGAAATCAACCAGCTTATCTTCCCAAGTGACAACATCCAGGGGATGCTATACTTGTGTCTGGATTCATAGGACCCAGGTTTAATTCCTACCACTCAAGTGGCAGCTTACAATTGTCTATCACTAGTTCCAAGGGAACCAGCAGCCGCGTTTGATCTCCACAGGTACCAGGCGCATACATGGTGTACATACATATATACAAACATCCATATGCATAAAATAAATGTTTTAAAAATTAAAAAAAGCTCACGTTTACAGTTAACAGGATGGGAAAAACTATGGCAAATTGTATAGACAACTTACATCCAGGCACTTATTACATTGTTCACATTATAGAGAATCCGTCAAGGCAGTTACTACCATCCTACATTAGAGGTGAAGAAAGCAAGCTCTCAGTTAATCTTATTCGAGTTCATGACATTGGTTTTCACCTGACATAAGACTCTTGTCCTTAACATTATCTTCTACTGGAAGGCAATGACTAAAATAAGGCATGCTTATATATAAGAATAAGCTGTTTATGACTTTCCTCAAAGTTGTTATTAATTTTTTTAGAGGCTAGAAAAGATTCAGGAAGTTCACTTCAATGGCACCAAAGTGAAGGGTAAGCAGAGCGAACCCAGCAAACCCTCGGGATTTTCTACCTCAGACAACAGCACAGCCAACACTCCTCAGGATTACAGTGGAAACATGAAGTCCTTCCCGTCCAGGAGCCCTTCCCAGGGTGATGAAGATTCTGCTCTGATCCTAACCCAAGACAATTTGAAAAGCTCAGATCCTGATCTGTCAGTGAATAGCGACCAAGAGTCTGGGGTGGAGGATTTGAGCTGCCGATCTCCAAGTGGTGGTGAGCATGCACCCAGCGAAGACAGCGGCAAGGACCGGGACTCTGACGAAGCTGTGTTTCTCACTGCTTGAAGTTTCCCTTTGGAGTTCCAAAGTAAAAGACAAAGAAACTCCCAAATTAAGGGGACAGTGCAATTCATAATAAAAAAAAATCTTAAGAAATGGCACGTTCCATTAAGAACCATAAAATAAGCTACGAAAATAAAAAAAATATATAGTCTCTCAATAGCCAGTTATTTTATCAAATCAGAAGTGTTCACCATTCCCAAGGCTCATGGTAGACTCACTATGAAAAAGCATACCATCATCACCAGAGGTGGTCCATACACGTTTTCCCTGGCATAGCATGTATCTACTCAGAAAGCCCTCCTCTCCTTTCTCGCCACCTGTTAATGGTTTAGAATTATTTCACTTCCAGATTCAGTTTGTTTTCTGAAACATTTGACATTTCCTTCTGCCTTTACCAATATTTTTGAAAATAAGCATTGAAAATAGTCTTTTTTGTTAATAAATATATTCCTAAATAGCTGTGGAATTAATATTTCAGGTAGGATAATTATTTTAACATCTAATTAGATACTATTTTAAATTCTATTTCTCCCTCTGGAGTATCTTCTGCTTTTATCACTTAGAAGTGCTAACATGTATGTTTTCTTTTTAAACATGGATGTAGTATCTCATAAAGCAGAAGTCTCACTCACTTTCTCTATCTCAAATATGAATCCAGATATCAGCTCACAGCAACTCTAGCAACCTTTTATTATTTCAGAGACTGTGCCTGCCAAAACTGTGGGCCACCACCAACCTGATTCTAAATGACAACACTGTGAACTTTGTAGGCAGTCATACATCAGCAAGGGAAACTCTAGTGAGGAACTAGGGAATTGCATGTCTTAAGTTACTTTTCTCTTGTGGTAAGACACCACAACCAAGGCAACTAGAAGAATTTATTTTGGGCTTACAATTTGAGGGGTTTAGAATCCGTGCCCATCATGGCAGAGGGATACAGCACAGGCAAGCAGGTATGGCACTGGAGCAGTAGCTGACAGCTCACATCTTAACAACCCAGAGGCAGTGAGAGCCAACTGGAAATGGTGTGGGCTTTTCAAAGTATAAAGCCAGCTCACCGTGACATACTCCCAACAAGGCCACACCTCCTAATCCTTCCCAAACAGTTCCATCAACTGGGAACTGACCATTCAAATATAAGCCTCTGGGGCCATTCTTCAACCCCCTACATCATGTCTATGGAGTAAAGGTTATAGTTATAGTGCTGGTCACTTTACAAATGACATAGCACATTAATGTTTCCAGTAACATTAGCAGTATCTTATGACCGTTGACTGATGAATGCCATTTCTGAAGTTTCTGTTAAAGTGCACGTTTAGAACAGAATCATTCCCATCTCATACTTAAAAACAGGATTTGAATTGAACTTTTGATAGGAAGACTCTTAATGGAGTTGCTGTGTTTGAAGACACTGAAATGTTATTGTATGATTTTACAATATTAGTACATTCTAATAAAGAGATAAATTTAATCTTAGTTTTTATAACAGTATTTTACAATGTGAAAATTTATATCAGATACTGTATTCAATTTTGTGGAAATAGAAATACATTAATAAGAAAGGACAAGAGACTGCGAAAACCTCTAGTCTGACTTATACATACATCACATAATGTAATACAGGATAATAGTGTTCACACTTAAAAGATGATTTTAATATACTAAAGGCCTGTAATATAAAAATATTAATATAAAAATAAAGTAAGTATAATACTTTTAGATGTTAAATCCAAGCATTTTCTGTTGAGAAGTTCCCCAATCACAAGTAAAGAATATTTATTCATTTTTATAGTCTTATTTAATAGTCTAATAGCTAATAAACACATGTGATATGGTGAGACTGGCTTTACAGCTTTATAACAAGACTCCTCTTTCGTGTTTTCTTTTTTTAAGACAGTATCTGATCATGCAGCCCTGGCCTCAGACTCGAGATCTTTCTGCTTTTGCCTGTTGGGTGCGGAGATTACAGGTGTGTGCCATCATTCCTGGCTTTCTTTCTATCATTATTTAGTATCCACTCCTAGAGACACTGTTGCCTAATTTCTTAAAGCAGATAGTAAGCCATAAATAAATAAATAAATAAAAGGAAAGAAAAAGCAGCATCTATGTCAAACTGGATGACATTTGAAAAAAGTGTGTGTGTGTGTATATATCTTAATGTGACACCTTCGACATCAGAGCCACCCACTTTTTGTTACCCTCATCCTTTTACAAGACGTAATGTAAGCATGTAGTCACTGAGTCTTTTTTACAAGCTAACCTCGCAGTGAAACTACATACAAATTTACTGCCTGTGTTTCCAGAGAGCCTGGACAAACCACGGTCAATTCAGCAAGACTAAAATCTCTAGAACCTCAGGTTCATTTAAATCAGGCGTCGGTCATAAGGCATTTTATTATTTAAGGTAGAGTTCCAGGGACTATGTCTATAACTGATTCAAGACACAGGACTTCCCAGCCAGTCATCGTTACAGCTCAAGTGATTTGTTACTTTTAGTAATACTAAAGTCAACTTTATATGAAAAAGGAAAGAATTTTGGTCATGCTTGAACAAGTCAATGACAAATTTAAATAAAAAATAAGAAATAAACCTTCAAATGATTTTTTTAAAATTAAATCTGCATGTGTGTGTGTGCACATGTGTGTGTGCATGCCTCTGCTCCAGTGCTGAAGTGAGAACAGGTATCAGTCTTTGCCCTGCACCTTGTGTGCAGCAGGGTCTTGTTTGCTGCTATTCTGTCCACCACACAAACTGGTAGGCAGAGCTTCCTGGAGTGATTCTCTCAGCCTCCTCTCTTGTGAGGAGTAATGGAATTACAGGCATGTTCTACCATGCATCCGGTCTTTATATAGGTTCTGAGGATTTGAACTCAGGTCTTCATGCTTTCATGACAAATAGGTTGGCACTGAGTTCCTTACGCAGTACAAATTTTCATTCCTGAAAAGAGCTCAGGTGGCAGAGTGCCTGCCTCACATGACTGAAGCTGCCCTAAGTTCAACCTAAGCACTACATGAACTGGGCTTACTGATACATGAGCCTAGTACTCAGTAGGTGGAAGATAAGAGTGTCGAGGTTACCCTCAGCTACACAGCAAGTTAGAGGAGAATCTGGGCTAAAGACCCTGCCTTAAACAAAAACAAAAAATTATTTCAACACAATCTTAGCTGTCTTCCACTTTAAATATGCAAACTGTAGTCAAACAAGCTCTGTTCTGCATTTTGAAATTAATTCCCTAGTGTTAATTTATTCTGAAAATTTGACCCAATATTGAAATAGATGCCTTTATTATTCCCTCTTTGACTTATTACTACTATCCATGACAAATCCTACCTGAGGTAGTCTTAATTCCTAGGCCTTCTTTACAGTCTTCTATTTTTACACTAAAGTAAAATCAGTACATTTTTTAGTATCCCTATCTGTAGCCAGTTTCAACTTGTTAAATGCAAGTAACTGGTCAGAGGTCTGTTTAATATTTGAATTCTAAAGAAGGTCTCTGAATTATGGATAAATTATGCTTCCTTAACTGACAAACAAGGAAATGTGGGTAATACAAGCTTAAAGAAAAATGCCACAGGCTTACTCCTGTGGCTGTATAAACAGCATGTTCTGGGTAAGCATGTGGGTGGGGGGGGCAACAGAGAGAAGCACAGAGACACCAGACATCACACTTGGGTTATCTATCTCTGGGTAGCTGTTCTACAATGCTGGTGGTGTTTAGTAGCTGAATCAATGTTCTCCAAAGCTTAGTCTGCTGTCTTTTGTTCTAGGATATGCATGCCCAGTTTACAAAAGCAAGCAGACTGTGTGTGACTCATAAATTCCATACCAACTACAGTGACTGCTGGGAATGTTAAACTCCGCACCAGTGCAGTAAGGGAACGTCGCTGAATGCCCCAAAGTTGAAATACTACTACATCAATATCTCACCCATATGTCCTTAACAGGAATAACAAGTTTACCCTTCATCTGGCCATTCTGAGAATTAAATAGCATGCCCTTAGAAACAGTGCCAGGAAGACAGGTATTATAACAGTGTATAGCTAGTGTTGGATCTCTACAGTCCATGTGAATGTCTCTGACAAACATGAAATATTTTTCAATAGAAAATATTTGTATATTTTCTAAAATTATATTACAAAAGCCATGTAGAATAAGAAGAATGAAAACAAGACAAATTATAATGCATGCAGGCTTTGGAATGACAATTGAGCAAATAAATGTTAGGGTATTTAGTGATTTAGATACTGCCTTACTAAACCTCAGGTATGTACTTATTCATTTTCACCTTTATGTACTTTAATAAGTTCATTCTGAGGCACAATATAAACACAAATTGGTGAATACAAGTACAAATTAGAAAATTAAATTCATTAAAAATTAAGACTGAATATTACTTAGCACTAAGCCTTTTTCTTAGAAAAAATTAATTTTAGGAAAAGATTAAATTACAATAAGTAATAAAATTTCACAAACTTTTTAATGTTTAGATTTACCACCTTTTAAAAAAAGGATGTCTTTAACATTTGAAATATAAAAAATATCTTTATTTAACTAAAAACCCATAGACAGCTTTTTTTTTTTTAATTAGCATGAAAGTCTGTATTGGACTGGTTTAATGAAAAGGAAATTTTTTTAAGTAAAACATGTAAGAAGATCACAAGCTTGAGGTTAGCCTGGGCTACACAGGAAAGCCTGTTCCAGAACAAAACCAAACAAGTACATTAACCTCCACCGCTCCCCAAATGCATCTTTATGTGAAAATGAAACTAAGAGAGCAGCTTCTCCACTCTCCTTTATCTAGGAAAGAGAGAGAGAGAGAGAGTGTGTGTGTGTGTGCGTGTGTGCGCGCGCGTGTGTCGGGGGTGGGGTGACACGAAGAGAATCTAAGTAATAACCATTCTTGATAAAGAAATGATGAACTCCATTTAAAACTACAAATGTTGGTCAGTTTTATAAAATATAAAACTAGCTGGAATCACATGCACAGTCGTTTAATTAGGAATAGTAGAGGAACTTAAATACAGGATTTGTCAACAATAAACATTTTTAGTGCAAATAGTGCAGAAATATTTCTCAAAACAAATATAGCAGTCATTCTAATCTATACAAAAACAGACTCAGTCATGTATACAATCTATAGAGTGCATCTGGAGTTCAGCCATGGTCATGAAATGCCAATTCTTAAGTCATAAATATCAAACAATGTGCTTAGTTTTGTGTCCCATTTCTTTCTTGATTCATGTTTTCAGGAAAATCTGGAATGGAAAAAATTTTAAATTTAAGATTTAATTTAAGATGAGAAACTCTCATTCCTTTATACTGTCTTCTGGTTTAGATTCACTGTAACATGACTGGGAGGGAATTGGGTAAGGAAACTATTAAGTATGGTCCTATATAATATTTCTACTTCTTGAGCTTGGGTAAACACAAAAAGTATAAAAATGAGCTCAATTTAGAAATTAGATCAAAACAGTTCAGAGTTGGTGGTAATCAATACAATCTGAATTAAACTGAGAAACGCCTACCACCTTTTTTTTCTCTTTTCAAAGAATCCCATATGTGCCTCCACAAAGTCTACTCCTTCAGCCCAGATGGCTGGGTGCAGAACCACGTGGTCCCCATCTCTAGCCATGTGATTAGGGGAGAGAATGCACCCATCTCTCCTAGGTATTTGTACTCCAAGAGACTCTCGGTCGGTCCTCTAACCAGCTGCTTCAAGCAGTAAAGGTTGCTAGGTTACTAAGAAAAGAGGGATGCTGATGTAGGTCAGTTGTAGCTTGTTGAACACATGGGAAGAAATGGGTCTGACCCAGCAATCCACATACAAAAATCAGACTGAGAAATGAGAAACTGCCAGCCTGAGAAAAAAAGAGCTGTTTTGGTTCCTAAGTGGCTTCCAGTGTTTCCACTCTCAGTAACTGGGCTGTTACCTTTTCATTTTGGCTCTCTGGTAACTTTGTATTTTCCTTCAACAAGAAGTTTATATTAAGGTTGCTGGAGTATGTGGTGGTTAGAATAAGAAATGTCCCCCACAGTCTTGGGTATCTGAACACATACATGGTGCTGTTTTGGGAGGTGGTGCATGCAGTAATAAGGGCGGCGGGGCTGCGTCCCCAGCACCCCAGCCGCCCGCCCGGCTAGCTCAGTCGGTAGAGCATGAGACTAATCTCAGGGTCGTGGGTTCGAGCCCCACGTTGGGCGCCAATTGTAGTAATTTGGGGGGCGGTGGGGCTGCGTTCCCAGCACCCCGGCTAGCTTATGCCCGAAATAACAACACACAAACTGTATTCATTTAATCACTGCTTGGCCCATGTCTATCTAGCCTCTTCTAGGCTAATTCTCACATATTAATTTAGCCCATTTCTAATCATCTGTGTTGCGCCCCTAGGTGCGCTTACCGGGAAGATTCTAGCCTATGTCCATCCTGGGTGGGAGCTTCATAGTGTGTGTCTGCCCAGGAGCCAGGAGCATGGCGTCTCTCTGAGGCGTCTGCTCCCAAGAGGAGAGCTGTCGAGTCTGAGCTCACTTCCTCTTCCTACCAGCGTTCTGTTCTGTTTACTCCACCCACCTAAGGGTGGGCCTATCAAATGGGCCTAGCAGTTTCTTTATTGCTTAACCAATGAAATCAACAGATTGATATATGACACTCCCACATCAGGTGCAGCCTTGCTAGTATATCACTGGTGGGCGGACTTTGAGAATGTATAGTCTCCCTGTACTCTTTGTGTTTGTGGTTGAAGATATGGTCTCTTAGCTTCCTGCTCCAGCAGCCTGATGCTATGCCTCCCTCATCCTTATGGACTCTCCCTCAGGAACCATAAACACAAACTCTTCCATTTAAACTTGTCTTAGTCACGGTATTTTATCACACCAATAGAACTAATACAGGGCAAGATATTCTTCTGTAAGGAAAACATCCCTAAAACAAGTAGAGGAGGGATGACAGAGCTTGAAGGCTGAGAAGATGGCAGCAGAAAGAACACTACAGGTAAGCTAACCTCAGGGGAAAAATGCAGCTTTCCTTAAGGACACCCTCACACTGAGAAAACACTAAAAGGTTTCTACTAGCTGCAGGCTTACTTATACAATGGTGTGTTTAATATATAATTATCAGCATTGTATCACATATAACAACTATAATGACACTGTGAAGAACTATCTTGTTAAAGAATACTTGGTAATAGCCCTGAGATACCAGCTGAAATGCGATTCACCTACAGAGGAGCATGAGATTGGCTGTGCACTGCGATCACCTGGTGAAGCTTCTCTTCTTTAGCTCTTCTACAGTGGCAAATCTGGAAGACAAATTATTTAAAATACCAGTCAGTTTTCCAACTACTTCCTACATTATGACAGAATTCCAAGTAAGAATATTTCAATTAGTTAACATTCTTTTAAGTTTTTAACATTTAAGGTAGCTAATAATTAGTCAGAAAAGCACTGAGCTCCATTTGAAAACAATCTTTTGACTACAAACTTCCCTGATCTAATTCAAATGCCTGTGCTTAAAAACAAAGAAGTAAAGCATACTCTTGTTAATCATGGAAGACTAACAAACATAAACTTCAGTGTAGCTATACAGAATAGAATGGGTCAGAAACCAATTTCTTGCTAATATTTTAATCACAGGTAAGTTACTAACCATCTCTGAATTTCAATTGTCTCTCATGAAAAATAGAGTAAACTTTGCCCTGTCTGCTTTAAAGGGTTCCCGCACACAAGCACACACCCCCACACAAACATTTCATAAAACTTACCAAATAACAAGTATGACTTCAGAGATTGGGTAAATATTTAGGCCTATATTAACCAGTATGAAATTGTTAAGCAGATTGTTTTCCTTGAATACAATGGGAACACCAGAATAGAAGCTGTTCTATTTTTATTATTTATTGTATTTTTAATCTCTATAGGTTACTTTATAATTATGCAACGTATAAAAAAGGTGGTTTTTCAGGAGACGATTATAGCTATTAAGATTAAACTAAGCTGATTTACCAGCTCTGACCCAATGATACAGATACTATCACTTCTGCAAGAGAACTCTCATTAGATCACCTGTTGTGTGTGCAGAACTAAGAGGGTTAGAACGACAGTAGGTGCTGCCATCCTTCCCCAGACAGGTTTTTCAGAGCCTGCTCAGTACTCAAAACTCCAGCTTGGTCTGCACTAATGATCTTTACTCATGACCACACTTAAAATTTGTTATTATGTTGTCACTCATTCTCAAATGAAGAGTATCACATACTGTTCTCTTTTCCTTGAAGCTACTGAGAAAATCATCTATTTCAGTTTTTCCCTCCAAGAACTCCTCAGCAATGTTATCCGACTCTTCCTCAGCTTCATGTGCAGCTACTTTCAATCTTGCCTGGAGGGCACTTGCACTACAACTCTGTGAACAAACAAAAAAACCAAGCATTGCATTAGTCCATAATTCTCATATCAATTTCAGAGAAGGAAAATGAGGCAGAGGTATGGAAAGCAATCTTCACATTGAATACTTGGATAGACAACACCTTGGGGTTTCTATAGCTATGATGGAACACCATGACAAAAAAAAAAAAAAAAGAATTGGGGAGGAAAAACGTTTATTTAGCTTACACTTCCACATTACTATTCATCACTGGAGAAATTCAGGACAGAACTCAGAACTCAAGTTAGGAACCTTGAGGCAAGAACTGATGCAGAGGCCATCGAGGAATACTGCTTACTGGTTTGTTCCTCATGGCTTGCTCAGCCTATTTTCTTATAGCACCCAGGACCACCAGCCCACTGAAGCCAGCACCCACACTGGGCTGGGCCCTCTCCCATCAATCATTAATTAAGAAAATGTACTACAGGTTTGAGTAGAGCCCAGTCTTATGGATGCATTTTCTCAACCGGGGCACCCTCCTCTCTGATAACTATAGCTTGTGTCAAGCTGACATAAAATTAGCAAGTACAGATACCAAACACAAGAAACTAAATCACAAGCTGTAAACTATTAAATGAGAAACTGATAAATCACTATTCTACTCTGGAAATTTGGGGATTAAATCACTGTGAGAACACCTACTCAGATCACCCAGTGACTCCATTTCCTTGTATTCCTGTTCTTGTCTGCCCTAGTGAGCTAGACAGTAATTCATTTCTAAAGAACCAAATGTGACAAAATTGAAGGGATTTAATATGACCACAGAAGCAGATTAAGTGCACACTGACAACACTGCTGAAAAACAAAACACTGAAAACAAATAAGTGGTCATCGCTTGGAAGATTTAATACTGTTATGATGTCAATGCTAACCCTAAAGATCTATAAAATCAATGCAATTTCATATATTTCAAGAGTCCTTCATTGGAAAAAGAAAGTATCCTAACATTCATATGATATCTCACAAGACTGAACAGCCAAGAGATCTCCCTATTATAAACACTGACACACACGTCCCCATAAGCCAGAACAAGACAGGGTCCCACTTCCAGTGACTTAGCCTAGTGTGAACACCCCATTGCCAAAACAACCTCTAGATTTCCAACAAGACCACCCTCCCCTACCCCCAGTGACCTGCTATCAACCCACATTCTACCTCCAACCTGCTGGATCCCCCACATCCTTTTCCAGGGTCTAGCCTGGTGAGTCTGTATGAACTCCCCCAAACACACACACACATAATCGCCAACCTGCTAAGTCTAGCCTAGGACCCACATCCAGTGCCCAGACATAGTCTGTCCAGCTCTATCTATGCCCAAGTCAATCTCTAGACTTTCAGCAAGACTGACCATTCCTACCCTCAAACCAATAGAGCCCTTCACAGACTTTGAAAGAACAATAATCAACTTCATATGAAAAAAACAAAAAACCCAGGACAACCAAAACAATCCTGCACAATAAAGAAACTTCTGGAGGCATCACAATCTCTGACTTCAAACTCTACTATAGAACTATAGTACTAAAAACAGCTTGGTATTGGCATAAAAACAAACAGGAAGACCAATGGAATCAAATCAAAGACCTGGATATTAATCTACACACCTATGAACACCTCATTTTTGACAAAGAAGCTAAAATTATACAATAGAAAAAAGAAAGCATCTTCAACAAACGGTGCTGGCATAACTGGATGTCAACATGCAAAAGAATGAAAATAGATTCATATCTATTCTCATGCACAAAACTCAAGTCCAAATGAATTAAAGGCCTCAATATAAATCCAACCACACTGAACCTGATAGAAGAGAAAGTGGGAAGCAGCCTTCAATGCATGGGCACAAAAGACCACTTCCTATGTAAAACCCCAGTAGCACAGACACTGAGAGCAACAATAAGTAAGTGGGACCTCCTAAAACTGAGAAGCTTCTGTAGAGCAAAGGATACAGTCAATAAGACTACTGAATGGGAAAAGATCTTCACCAACTCCACATCAGACAAAAAACTGATCTCCAAAAGTTACAAAGAACTCAAGAAATCAGACATCAAAATTCTAAAAACCCAATTAAAAACTGGGCTACAGAACTAAACAGAGAATTCTCAACAGAAGAATCTCAAATGGTGGAAAGGCACCTAATGTTTAACATCGTTAGCCATCAGGAAAATGCAAATCAAAACAACTCTGAGATACTACCTTACACCAGTCAGAATTGCTAAGATCAAAAACACCAATGACAGCTTATGCTGGAGAGGATGTGGAGTAAGGGGAACACTCATCCATTGCTGGTGGGAATGCAAACTTGTATAACTACTTTGGAAATTAGTATGGCAGTTTCTCAGAAAACTGGGAATCAACCTACCTCAGGATCCAGCAATACCACTCTTGGGCATATACCCAAAAATGCTCAATCATACTAAAAAGACATTTGTTCAACTATGTTCATATCAGAATTATTTTTAATAGCCAGAACCTGAAAACAACCTAGTTTCCGTGTAATTATTTCGGGTAAAGCTAGCCGGGTGGCGCGAAGCGGCCCGCCGCTCCTATTACAACAGATGCCCCTCAACTGAAGAATGGATAAAAAAAACGTGCCACGTTTACATATTAGAGTAATACTCAGCGATTTAAAAAAAAAATGACATCTTGAAATTTGCATTCAAATGGTTGGGCCTAGAAAATAACATCCTGAGTGAGGTAACCCAGACCCAAAAAGATGAATTGGGATGTATTCACTCATAAGTGGATACTATCCACTCATAAGTGGATACTATCTATAAACTAAGGACATTGAGCCTATAGTTCATGATCCTAGTAACAAGGTAAATAACAAGGTAAACCCTAAGAAAAACATATATAGATCTACCTGGAGAGTTGAAATAGACAAGATAGTCTGACAAAATTGGGAGCATGGGGGTGAGAGGGTAGAAGGGGAAGAGGAGGGGAGAAAAGGAAGGGGGAGAACGGAGAACTTGAGGGATGGGGTAGTTGAGATGGAGGAAGAACAAAGATGACAGCAAAGAAAGATATCTTGATTGAGGGAGACATTATGGTGTTAGCAAGAAACCTGGCACTAGAGAAACTCCCAGGAATCCACAAGGATGACCCCAGTTAAGACCCTAAGCAATAAAGGAGAGGGTGCCTGAACTGGTCTTGCGCTATAGTCAGACTAATGAATATCATCCTAGAACCTTCATCTAGCAACTGATGGAAACTGATGGGAGAGACCCACATAGGAGCACTGGACTGAGCTCCGGAGGTCCAGTTGAAGAGTGGAAGGAATGAAAATATGAGCAAAGAAGTTAAGACCATGATGGGTACACCCACTTAAACACGCACCAACTCCAGATGGACAGGAAAGGATCAAGCACACTCCAAACTAGTCCCTCTGAATGTGGTTGACAGATTGCATGGCTAGGGCAGACTGAGGGGCCACTGGCAGAGGCACCAGGATTTATCCCTACTGCTTGTACTGGCTTTTTGGGAACCTATCCTCTTTGGATGGATTCCTTGCTCAGCCTAGACATAGTAGGAAGGGCCTTTGACCTTCCCCAAAGCAATGTGCCTTACCCTCTCTGTGGAGTGGATGGGGGTTGGGGATTAAATAGAGGAATTGGGAGGAGAGGAGGGAGTGGGAATTTGGATTGGTATGTATAATGAGAAAAATAGTTTCTTTTCTTTTTAAAAAAAATAAAAAGGAAAAAAATTATACAATATATTGTTTACTTAAAAATTACTGAAAGTAGCTGGGCTGTGGAGATAGATACATGACTTTAATCTCAGCATTCGAGAAGGAAAAGCAGGTGAATCTCTGAATTCGAGACCAGCCTGGACTATAGAGCAAACTCCATGACAGTCAAGGATACACAGAGAAACCTTGTCTCAGGGGTGGAAAAAAATCACTTGGAACAAATCTTACATAAATATCGGGTAAGAAAAAGTGTTAAAGCTGAACTGTGTTGATAATGGGGTCCACAAAATCTCACTAAGTATAGCAGAACTCTTTATAGGACATTTGGTTTTCCTTGGCTGGGTTTCCTATTTTCTCGTTTTTCATTATACCCACTGGCAATATTTGTGTTATCCATATTAGACATGTGTTCTTTAAAAAACAAAACCAAAAAACTTCACTTTTGATTTTATCATTAATACATAAACATTTTAAATTTATGTATTTAAATGTTAACATTTTCTGCTCTATGCTTTTGCTTCCTACTACAATTGGAGAACTAGACTGTTCACATAAAAATCTTTGTTAAAAATGTCTAGGAATTAACTGGTTATTATACTTTTTACTGAAACTAAATGCATAGTATCTTTTTATACTCTGTATAGTATGATATTTATGAAGTCTAGTATAAAAGGTCAAGACTATTTTTGATTGGAAACTAAACCAATAAACAATTACATAAGTGTTGAACCCTAAAGTTTTTCCAGTTATTACTCACATACACAGTACATTTTCAAACTGCAACCTGCTCCATACATTATTTTTCATCTTCCTATAAACTACTGCATAATTGGCTCAGGTGGGTAATAAACGGTTTCTGATGAAGTGAAAGCAAGAGCAGTGAACAAGGAACTGCAGACTAGCAGCTCCCATGAGGACCAGAAAGAACCAGTCAGTCATACCTCACTGAGTTCATGTTGTCTTTGCATCTTCTTTTCAAAGGTAGATTTCATTTGTATAAGTAATTCATACTAAAAGAAAACATAAAATTCTGTTTAACTTGATTTTTAAACTATAAAAACAATATGTTAAAAGTGACCACCAGTAACTCACCTTATCTAAAACGGTCTGCCTTTTGGTTTCCAAGCTATGCTCCAAAAGGAGATTTTTTCCTGTAAGATAAATAAATCTCTGGATTATTTCCCAGCACAGATCCCATTTTTCTGAGGACTTGTGAATTTAAGCCAAGGCAAACATACTTGCCAATTCCTCAATACTTTGTACTAGGTCTTCCTTGTCAGTGATGATTTGCTTTAGTTGTGACGATGTCAGGAACTGTTCTAGGAACACATCCTCCTGTTCATTCATGTCTGTGAGCTGTGACACACTACAGACACAAGAGAAAAAGCAACCTGTTACCATCAATCATCTAGCTTTTCTCCACGATGATAAATGTTCAATTTTTCAACATGACCTGTGTGATAGCTAGTTTATGTGACACAAGCTAGAGTTATCTAAGAGGAGAAAACTTCAATTGGGAAAATGCCTTTGTAAGCTTACTCTGCATGTAAACCTGTAGGACATTTTTAAAATTAGTGATTGACGTAGAATGGCCCAGCCCATTGCAGCACTAAAAAAAAAAAAGCAACTGAAGAAGTCATATAGAGTAAGCCTGATGTGTATCCACAGTTATCCACATAGTTGCATAGAAGAACATGAGGAACAAGAGAGTGAGAATCATGGGGAGGATTAAAAATATGAAGGCTGATCACACTATTTTATTTCTCTTTCCATAGTGTTGATGTTTCACAAATTTTTATAGTAGGTCAACTTTTAAAAAGGAGAAAAGATAGTATTTATAAAATAGATGTCTTATTTATTGACAGTTGAGCATTATATAGCATACTGAAGCCATAAAATATGTGTAATGTTTCTTTTCTGTTGTGGGACTTGCATTCTTCAAAACTTATTTCTGATGTTTACCCATGAATTAAAATACTGAATCAAATAATGTCAAACTTTGTTTTTTAAAATTACAGTTTTGCACACAGGCTTTAATCTGTACACTCCTGGTAGAATATATTCTGTAGACATAAAATTACAAAGACTTCTTAATTGCACTCAATGGTCTTAATAATAACCTCATGGATAATATAAATCCTTAGTGTGGTACATGGGATACTCCACTAAACGGAGGGAGCAGAAAATACTTTATTTGTGGCACATCTTACGTTATATAAAAAATAGTACATTAAGCTTGAATCCTGCCATCTTATCTGCTATAAATTTGAATAAAAATATGAATCTAAAACTAGTTTGCCAATATATTATGTTAACTTTAATCTACTCATCTATATACAACATTAACATTACTCTACTAAAGAAATAATGAAAGATCTATTTTGCAATTATCAGAATCTAATATATTCACAAATAATTATCAAAGACTGCAAGCTACGTGAGGGAAGAGAACTTCTGTTGCCCTGGTAATCATTCCATCATTCTTGGCATCAGAGCAATCCCTAGATATAGACGAGTCACGTTCTAATTTATCATACACAAGGTGATTTACACCATTTACCCACTAAGACAACCACAGTGAAGGAACAGTGAAAAAAGTTTAAATCATTTAACTTAATTTGAATATGAAACTATAAATAAAATAGACAAAACTATCTTTACTCTTCAAGTTTTTTACCTTAGTTCTGAAAGTTCTGGAAATGCATCAGGGATATCCGGCATCTTATAACCAAAACCATTTTGGTTAATCTAAAGAAGAGTTTTGAAGAATATTAAACCTCAGCTATACTTTTGATTGGTCCCATTTATCTGATATAAACTTTAAAGTACTGCATCTATTAGTGCTTTCACTATCACAACTTCATCTTTGCACTTCACATGTACACACATTTCCTGTGCATCGGTCTGTTTCTCAATGGACTTTTACTTATTTTATGTCATTTATTCAAACAGAGTATTACTGTGTAGCTCAGCCTGACCTTGAACTCACTAACTAGTTCAGGCTGAACTGGAACTCTGCCTCCTGGGGAATGAGTTCTATACATGTGCCTCCATTCTCAATGTACTGTTATACATATGAGTATACCTTTCCTGATGGGGACTGGCTATGGGCCTTAGAAGAGCCTGTATTAGCCTGTGTGGAAGTGTATGATTATAAAATAAATCTCTTGAGAGCACCTATAACAGGTATAAAGAATCACCTGTGGATTTCATAGATGTAAATGACTATACTTCTTTTAAAAAAAACATCAAGCATAAATTAGTAAATTGCTAGCACTCTGACTAGTTACATATTTAAGTTAAATAATAGGGTAGATGAAGAACATAGTACCAATTTGAATGTTTATGATGTCTATGTATTAGAATATCCCCAATTTTTCCTTAAAGTATTTTAAATATTAATTATAGTTTGTTGCCAGGTATGGTAGCACATGCCTTTAATACTAGCAAGGAGGCAGAGATAGGAAGATCTCATTGAGTTCAAGGCTAGCCTGGCCTGCACAGTGAGGTCCAGGAAAGCAAGAGGTACCTACTAAGACCCTGTCTCAAAAAACAAACTAACCGATAGTGTGTTCATAATCATTATTAACACAATAATGAAAAATTCTGGAAAAACAAAATCTGTTCAGGTCCATTTTTTTTAATAATTCTAAACTATAAAAATCAGTAATGTTGACTATAATGTATATGCATACACATATTTATGTATTTGTGTTTTCTGTGTGTATATGTGAATACAGGCATAGGTGTGTGTTGAGGTGAGGCCGGAGATCAACACACTGGGTTTCTTTCTCAGTTGGGCAGCGGGAGGATGACAACAGGGTTTTCTCACTCGACCAGGAACTCATTATTTGGCTGCTCTGGATGACTAACAAACCCCAGGAAATCTTGTGTCTAATTCCCCAGTAGTGGTATTACAGGAATGGATTACTACGCCTGGAGTTTTTACGGTAGGTTCTGAGGATTTGAACTCAGTTCCTTGTGATTGCACAGGCCTTTAATGCCTGACCATTATGCCAGCCTCCAAATCTACAAATATACTGTATGCATATATTCGTCTCTTTTTTCTTTCATATCTTACATGACAACAGATACCAGTTTCATTTATGAACATACAATTTTAAAGCCAATAAAATGCTCCAACAGACCCTCTTTGATTGGATACTTGCTTCTCCTATATAATCACATTGTGTGCCTTGTTCACACATAACAGCTAGAGAGATCTGTTATAGGCAACTTTACTAACATGCTCCCTGGCATATAGTGCAAGGCCTCTGCCAATGTTTCCAATCACCAAGTGCTTTATGGACCCTCTCGTTTCCTCAAAATTTTATAACTATCTTTAGAAATCTGGCCTCAAACACAAACTGACCCATCCATTATCTGCCTCATTTTCACAGATCATCTATTATGTGCATAGTCTGAAGCACTGGGAATAAAGTAAAAAGCTGGAATGATATTATTTCCCTACTATTTCTACTTGGTTTCTGGGGGCAATGACCTCAGTTGTCTCCCATAACCTTACACTACCTATAGAAGCTCTATATTTGCAATTCTTTATTGGTTACCTTTTTGAGTTTTTTTTACTTGGGATGAAAAAAGTATGATTTAATCTTTTATTTCATGCCTATCTCAGTAAATGGACATAACACATGCTAGCTGACTGAACACCTATTTCACAGGCACAAAATACAGACTCCTGAAGATACCAACCGGTGCTGAAGATTCTGTCGTAGGAACAGGTAATGGCAGACTTGAAAGGATGCCAAATGAAGGAGCCACTGGCTTGGCTGCGGTATAACTTGTGGTTGAAGAAGAAACAGTGTCAGCTACAGACAAAGATGCGATATTCCTATTAGCTTCTTGTGGAGGATATGGAGGAAGAAATGGAAAACCTTGAGAAGGGTAAGGAGCCATTCCACCTGGATTACTATACAGGCTGAAGAAAGAAAGGGAAGATCATTAGGTAGAATAAAATTATCACTAAATTGCCCTAAATAACAAGGGTCATGCATTTCCACATAAGGAAATTTGCTTGGGCAAGTGATTTTATTTATTTTTTAATATTTATTTATTATGTATACAATATTCTGTGTGTATGCCTGCAGTCCAGCAGAAGGCACCAGACCCCATTACAGATGGTTGTGAGCCACCATGTGGTTGCTGGGAACTGAACTCAGGACCTTTGGAAGAACAGGCAATGCTCTTAACTTCTGAGCCATCTCTCCAGCCCCGGGACAAGTAGGTTTATAATTAAATTAAATTATATAAATTATAAACTATAAGCACCTCAAAAATAAAGTATGGTTCCTATAAAAAGGAGGAAGAATGCTCTAGAAAGCAAACAATCCAGTTGCTCTCTGTAAAAGTCAAATACATCATTATTGAGTTTTGATATTCCAACGATATAATTTAGTTTTGTTTCTTTATTGAGAGCATTTTATCCAGAATATTTATACAAGTGGGTGTTGCTAAATGGCTTTTGATTTTGGGCAAAATGTATCTTAAAGTTAGACTTTTCCTAGAGATCTTGAAAGAAAAATTAAATATATACATGAGCTACTAAAATATTAGAAACATTACAAACAGATTCATATGTAAGCACAAACGTGTATTTTAAAGAGTAGCAAGTCATTACTTGGAACTTAATCAGAAAGTAATTCAGTTAATATTTATTTTAGCAAGATATTTTAAAATAAACATCTTTCCTCCCATAAATGTAAGAGACTGGCCAGCTTCAATGGCCCACACCTGTAATCCCAGCACTAGGGAGGTAGAAGCAAGCAAATTTCTATGAGTTCAAGACCATCCTGTCTGCAAAGAGTTCTAGACTACAGGGCTACATAGGGAGATCTTATCTCAAAACAAACAATTAATTGAGAAGAAATCAAATTATAAAAGAGTCAGGAGTACTTCAGGCATAAATGAACACTGAAAAATGTAAACATCTGAGCTAATAGTAAGTCAATCAGGCATTCTCCCAGGAAAGAAAAGAGATTGATGGGTATATTCTGGAGATGATACTAAATACTAACTACTAAAACTTTATACTTTATATTGGTATATTTTTGTAGGACTACTATAATTTCATTCAATGATAGAAATTAACCTGAGCTGGACATTTTATTAGAAGAAAACATCCTTTACAAATTTTCAAGTATTCCCTAATGAAAAATTTGCAAGAATAGAAAGAAAATAATCTGAAAACAGAAAACAAAGAGATAGTACTTCTTTCACAAGAAAAAAATGAATTACAGAACCTTAATTATTAATTAAAAATTAAAGCATAGCATTGGTGAATGGCTAGAAATATATATATATATATATATATATTTTTGTTTTTGTTTTTTTTTTTTTTGTTTTTCGAGACAGGGTTTCTCTGTGGTTTTGGAGCCTGTCCTGGAACTAGCTCTTGTAGACCAGGCTGGTCTCGAACTCACAGAGATCCGCCTGCCTCTGCCTCCCGAGTGCTGGGATTAAAGGCGTGCGCCACCATGGCCCGGCTAGAAATATTTTGAAATAAATAGAAAATGCCGAAAAAGTTATTAAGGCTTGAAGTAGAAACAAAGTTGAAAAACAGTGTGGTCATGTTTAACAAAAAAAAAAAAAAGTCAAGAGCTCACATTTATAATAAGATAGAAACTAATAGATCAAGAATTATATACAGTTTTAAAAATCTTGAACTAAAAGAAATCTTTGGAATGTTTCAACCTTGAAGTGGGAAAAGTATGAAAGGATTTCTATAATTCTAAATTCAAAAGTTATAAAAAGAAAATAATGACAAATTTTACACTAACAAAAACAAAACAAGCTGGGCGGTGATGGTGCACACCTCTAATCCCAGCACTTGGGTGGCAGAGGCAGGCAGATTTCTGTGAGTTTTGAAAAAGACCAGCCTGGTCTACAGAGTGAGCTCCAGGCCAGCTAGGGCTGTTACACAGAGAAATCCTGTCTCAAAAAACCAAAACCAAAGCAAACCAAACCAAAAAAACAGGCCCAATATAATACAAAAAAGGTCAGTGTTTGAATATATCCCAGCAAGCCCTTCTGGGCTTGCTATCCCCAGCACCACCAACAAGCTAACTAACATAAATCAAAGCGAAAGTCAAATCAATTGAAAGTCATATCACATATTGAAGGGCAATTTCTCTAATACATAACAAATTTCTAACAACTTTACGGCAAGTGGATGACATAAAATTAAGCATCTTAAAAACAGGAAGTGATGCTCAATTTAGCTGTTGAATAACAACTAAATTTTAAAAACTATTTTTTATGCTTACAAAATGGGCAATGATCTATTTTGACAATATGCCATACCTGAAATGGAGATGGATAAATGAGCATTGTGTGTGTGTGTGTGTCTTCCTGTAAAGTTGCTGAGAGACAATGCTTTTAACACTTTTAGAAGGTGTTTTCCTTACTGGACAGTTGCTAAAGCACTGCCTGCCCACTTCTGAAATCCATTGTTAATACCTCTCAAAGGGGCTTGAACTTTGCTTTTCTTAAGACTTAGGGGAAAAAAGAATGGGAGACAGGATTTTAAAGCACAGGAAGTCTTGTCTCTGATACATTTGGCAGGTCTTTAATTCATCTCTGTCCTGTCACATGAATTACAGTCATCAAAGCCAGGAAAGTACCTTCAACACTGTACAGAAACTTTCATACAGATCATCTAATTCTCTGGGTGTAGTTTCTCTTGCAAGAAACAATGGTTAACTTTCCAAACATATGAAGCTCTCTTCGGATGATCACAGTCAAAAGTCCACCAGGCACCAGCCAACTGTCTCTTTGTGCTTTCAGCCTTTCACTTGTTCATGAGAGCACTTCTCGTTTTCACCCCTGCGTGGCTCAAACTCTCCTCCATACTTTAGATTTTCTTTTCTGGGGGCAGGGGGAGTAAGAATTTCATTTCCAGGTGCTCCCCCCAAAAGTTCTACTGGCTACAGATTGTAAAACTTATGGATTAAAATAACTAGGCTGGTGTTAAAGGCTTATAACCCTACGTATCCAGAGGTTGAAACAGGAAGAACTGTGAGTTGAAGACTAGCCTGAGTAACAGTGTGTCACTGTCTCAAAATTTAAAAACAGGTAAAAGCTGGGAATTCAACCCTAGCCTGGCTAGCTTGGTTCATAGTTTGAGCCTTGGTGCCATACTCTCCCAGAAAATACTGCATGAGTTATGACAAAAAATAACCATTAGAAAAAGTTAAGACAGTTTCAGAGATTCAAGATTTATATTGGAAGATAAATTTTGAGACTTAAAAATTGATAAAGTTTTAATATGCCCTCATATTAGATAATGAGTGTATTTCAAATTCAAATTTTAGGTTGTGTAATCTGTATTCTATGTATTCTAGACTCTCCAAGAGCATTAGATTCCAATCTCATTTACTATATCTGATGGATAGCATGACGACTTATGCTGACACTCTTAGCACCCATTTAAGAGCTGGGCATAGAGACACACATCTGCAACCCCAGTATGAAGGAGGGGTAGGTGATAGAGACAAGAAGATCCCTGGAAGCCACTGGCCAGCCTGCCTAGCCAAGTGATGAGCTCAATGTTCAGCGAGAAACTTTGTAGCAAAAAAATAAGATGAGCAGTCAAGAAAGAGATCTGAATAGGAAGACATAAGATATCAACCTCTGGATATACATATATATATACATGTACACATGCAGACAAACTAAAAAATATATATCTGGTGCCATTTTAATTTCTGATCTTTTACAACTTCTAAATTTAATCTATGTCACTCTAAACCTTCATAAAAATGCATCTTATTACTGGTCTTTTATAATGTGATAATTATTTTATGGGCCTCTGCATTTTCATTTTAGTAAGTTAATGTTTCAATTTCATCTCACACTTTTCTCCTTTCCTGTGACCCTTCTCTCACCTTTCCAACTGAATCTAGAGCCTCACATATCCATGACAAAACTATATTTGGCTGAATCACTAGATCATGGTATGCATCCAATAGAAAGGATGATCCAAAAGCAAAATCAATAACCAAATTTTATCCTATGGTCAGTTCACAAAGCAAAACCACAGCTCTATCAAAGCAGTGAGCCCAGTTGGATTTCAGAATCCGTTTTCCCTCATTATGGGTAGAGTAGTCTACAGTGGTCTACCATTGCACGCTAGATATACGTGAGGTAACAACCTTGTCATTTTAATCTACCCTTCTTCTGTTTAAAAGATGTTCTTAAGGAACACAGCTGAAAACCCTCCTCTATACCTCTATATGAGTGTGAGCCTCTTATAAAATAAACTGTGGGAGTTCTTGTGTGAGACAGCGTGAATATATTTTTGCATATAGGATACAGGTGAATTTTTGTGATCAGAGATGTGTCAGACTATATATTTTTAAAATAGCTACAAATCTGTAAGATTTTCAGAGCACACTTCCCACAAACATATGGTTTCTTGAATTCTGCCACACTAGAGAGAGATGGAGTCTATTTCTTCTTCTTTTTTCAGCCTGAATGTACTTAAAATGCAGCAGAAATGATGCTGTGCAATACTCATAGCTATATCTGTGACTATAGGTAGTAGAAGGCAGTACACCTTCTACTCAGCTGGTCCAACCTCTCTCCATGTGGCATGCTGTGAGGAAACTCAGACCGCCTTAAATGGTAATAGCTCATAGCCTCCACTACAGTCTTGGTGCCTGCGAACAAAAACTGCCAGACAAGAGAATTAAATGAGTTTTCATATTATTCAATTGTACTTTTCTTCTTCTTTTCCTTCTTCTTCTTCTTCTTCCTCTTCTTCTTCTTCTTCTTCTTCTTCTTCTTCTTCTTCTTCTCCTTCTCCTTCTCCTCCTTCCTTCTTCTTCCTCTTCTTTTTTTTTTTGATTTTTTTTTTTTTTTTTGGTTTCTCTGTGTAGCCCTGGCTGTCCTGGAACTCACTCTGTAGACCAGGCTGGCCTCAAACTCAGAGATCCATTTGTCTCTGCCTCCTGAGTGCTGGAACTAAAGTGTGTGCCACTACCGCCCGGCCTCAATTACACTTCTTAAAGCCAAGTCAACTAATGGAAAAAGTAGAACAAAAGAGTTGCCACTAACACCTAACCGAACTATAGGTTCATAGAGAAAAATGTCTAAGCATGGTGGCATAGGCCTATAATTCTAGCCACCCAGGAAACCAAGTCAGAGATGACAACTTTAAGCTCTGCTGGTCACATTGCAAGTTCCAAGAAAGTCTAGGTAACAGAGTGTGACCCTGTTTTAAAATCTAAGATTAAAATATGCTAGGGATGGCTTTCTACGGCCCTGCTTGACACATTCAAGGCCACAGGTTCAGGCCTCAAATCCCTAAGACACACACCCACATTTTACTATTTTAAGGACAAGTTCTAGTATGATTTGTTGTTCATGTTAATGCTCTACTCAGGAAATTATTGGAAGATAGTAAATGAAGAAACTAGGAGACAACCTTTTTTAAAAAGAGAAACAAATAATCTAATATATGAAAACAACAAAGGAAAGCTTGAAGAAAAAAACAAGGGGAAGCTACTGAATGAGATCTGTGTGACAGGGACAGGGTGTAACTAGCAAGGAAAACGGTGGGGGGCACAAACAAACAAAAACAACCAACTAAACACAGAACCTAGAGATTATCTGCCTGATAGACATAAACAAAAGTGAGCTAAAAAAAATCAGCAATGGCTAATATTTATGAGTTGTGTAACAAACACACCAAATAGACTTATGTAGCTATCATGATATAATAAGAGGAGAATGGAAATTTTGTGGCAAATAGAACCCTCATCTATTACAGTAAGAGGTCAATAGGTAATAGCCAAAATGAAATTCAAGAACAGTCCCATGAGCCTATTGTTGAAAGACGGTGGGTAAATAATCAACTACATGAGAAATACACAGCCCCCTCTGAAAACTTTGGCCTTATGGGCATGAAGGTGAGTGTGTGGCAATCAGAAGACTGTCTTTGTTTTGAACATCAATTCCCCTAAACTATATTTTAATTATGATAAATGAAAACATGTTAAAGTTACATACTATAAATATACTTACTATGGAAATGCTGTTGAAGTAGGAGCTAAAACTGGAGGATTCTTCCAGAACTCATCCAAAAGACTTTGAATAATTTTTCCAAGATCTGAGTGCATTGTAAACTGAAAGTAACAGTAATACATAATGATAAAAACCCTCTCCAAACACAAACAGTAACAGTAATACACAATGATAAAAACCCTCTCAAAACACAAAATTTCATGGGAATAAATCTCATTTGAAACCTTAACCAATGTCTGCAGGTAAAAATAACTAGGAAAGAGTGATGGCTCAGTAGGTAGGAACACTTAATGTTTTGCAGACGACCCAGGTTCAGTTCCTAGCACCTACAAGGCAGCTCACAACCTATGTAACCCCAGATCTAGATGATGTGACACTGTCCTCTGACTCTGTGGGCACTGCATACACATAAACACTAATACACATAAAATTAAAATGAGGAAAAAATAAAGAAGTAAAGACACTGTGTCAACATACTAACAATAATGATTTACAACAGTTTCCTATAGAATGCATACTATAAATATTTAGTAATTAACAAATCAGGTTAAAAGTCTATTCAATCGATAATGAAGCTTCCCACACTTCACACTTCCCAGTAACTTGATTGTCAGAGGTAAACACTCAGGGTATTTAAGCTGCAACATGTAACATTATCAACCACATTATATCCAGAACTTCAAGTCACTGGCTTAAGTAAACAGTATTGTCTAAGGAAACCAATTTCAAAATAAAAATTTTATTACACTTCAGATTTCTAGAGCAATAAACTGTAATAAATGGGTAGGTTAATCTGATATAAACTATAGCATATACATACATTGCTTACTAATGGAGAGGTAACATACAATCCTTGATTATCCATTAAGTGATGTCTTATTGGTGGATAAACACTAATCACTGGTTTTTCCTGAGGAAATTGTGGAGGAAGTAATCTAGTAAAGAAATAACACACACAAAAAAAACACAAACAAATGAAAAAATACAACATGTAACCATAATTCTAAAACAAAGTTATTTAAAAGCAAGTTAAATTTTCACATTGTCTTATATGGATTAATTCTTAGTAACACATGCTTTATTATAAATATTGAGCAGACTGAAAATATATGAAAGGCTATATTCTGGCAATAACACAGTAATTGAATACAAGAGATTCTTTTTAAAATGGAATATGGGCTCCATGCATTACAGAAAAGTCTTTTTAGCATGTCAACAAATTGATTTCCAAGCTAATAAAACTTGCTGAATAAGAATCTCAGCTAAAACATAGATTGTCCACCTGTACAGCAAATCATGCAAAACTGCCTGACTATTTAGTGGATTATGGCTCTGGCCATGTGTTCAAGTGCGTGTGTGCGTGGAATCCTGCCCGCAGTAGTCTGGGCATGCATACACTACACTACAGAGGAAAGGTGAGAAGCAAGTACTAGACTACACTACTGTGCTTGTCATCAAACCCTCGCTCATCTGAGTCCTAAACGCTGCGCTGACACCTCTCCTCACACTGGTGCAAATCATGGGGGTTTAAGACGAAAAAGCTCTTAATTCAAAAGTCAAAAAATCAATCTTTTTTAAGTACTACAAAATTAAGATTAGTTTATGAAATATTTTAATAGAAGTTTGTTAAATCCAGAACTCTGTTTCTTAAATTTTAAAAACTCAGAATGTTTCCCTTGAGGCTTTTCTGCTTATATACTGGTTAAGGAAAGTACTTCTCGACATTATCAAAATTGGATTTTGTTGGACTCTCCTCCCTACATCTACCTAGGCACTAGATGGGAAATTAATTCATTTATATAGCTAAAGTTCATTTTTGTTATTTTTTTTTTGTTTTTTTTGTTTTTGTTTTTTTTTGGTTTTTTGAGACAGGGTTTCTCTGTGGTTTTGGAGCCTGTCCTGGAACTAGCTCTTGTAGACCAGGCTGGTCTCAAACTCACAGAGATCCGCCTGCCACTGTCTCCCAAGTGCTGGGATTAAAGGCGTGCGCCACCACCGCCCGGCTTATTTTTGTTTTTATAGGTCAAGATTTTTAATTTTTTTTTTAAAGAGGCGATAAGTGGCCTCTGGAGCCCATGAGTCCATGTTACAGCCATTTATTATGACTCTGTAATATATCCTAATTGGTAAGGCTTCTATATAGGTTCATAAAGCTCATAATGTATTTTAATTCTTGCCAGAGATATATGTTCATCCTTAGATTTGTTCAGAGAACAAGTATTTTATAAGGCCTCCTATGTCCATGTGTTAAGCAATAAACCACAAAGTTTTTATTTCACTAAGCTGAGCACTATTTTGTTATAATTACTATGAATAAGTTCATTTAAACAGCTATATCTGATATTAACTAAGAGTCAAGACAAAAAAGTTAGTTCCTATTACATGAAATATAGATTACAACTCTGTTCACACATTATTGTCTAGCTACTAAGACATAAAATTAAAACCTAGTACACAAAAATAGAAAAGAATTTTACTTACATATTAATGTTAATTGTTAGGTTGTTTACTGTGAATGGCAATCTGTATTCTACATCTTTTTGTATTTCAGCTATACTGTAAAAGAAAAAGTAGAAAAGATATAAAAAGAGATCAATGCTATAAAAAAAACTGTTACTATAAAAACCAAATGTTAGATGCTATAGCCTACAACTTTTTAAATTCTAATCACAGCATTTGGATAGGTGATATAATTTGTATCTAGAGAGAGAATTACTATAGTTGGAAAGACTTATCAAATATGCAGGCAATAATATTCTGTAATATCCAGAATATTATTATTGTTATTATTATCCAAAGGGTAAGGGAAGGATGCTAAGGAAAACATATAAGGAAAACTCAGAATAATCTCAGGTTGATTTAATATAATTTTATCCAACTCATCATTAGTAGAAGCAACTAGAAGCCTTCTGGGTAATATATGTCAACAAGTAGCTGAGTTCTGCTAACTATGCCACTATCCAGCTTTACGGGCAGCTGGGGATGACTGGATCTGAAGAATTTAAACGGAGCAGTCCCAATGAGTGTCTCTTTAAATGGTGACATAATGGCTCCTGACTGCTTTCCACCTTTCCTCTTCTTCCCCAAAGGAGCCTACTTTTATTCTGGGTAGCCATATGCTATAACCATACTCTTTCTTATTACTAGCTGTTGTTAAAGACTTTATGTCCCAGCCAATGAAAACATAGGTTAGTAGTGGGGTGGATTTCCAAGGAAGCCGCTTACAGTGGAATCCCAACTACTAGCTCTTTCTGCCTTTTTGCCTTCTTCCTACTTCCTGTCTGGATGCTAGGCTTGCATGGTAATAAGCCACTTTGAGGCATCCTATTAGTAGGTGGTAGGCACTACAAAGCAATGAAGTAACTAGCTAGGGTCTTTGATAAGTATGAAACCACTTTTGGTTTTTGTTTGCTTGCTTGGTTTGTCTTCTTTGAGATAAGTCTTATTATATGTAACCTTGACTGACCTGGAACTCCCAATGTAGCCTAGGCTGGTCTTGACCTTAGAGAAGTCCATTTGCTTCTGCTCTAAATACTGGGATTAAAGACAAGAGTCACCATGCCTGGCTTAAATTTCAAAATAAACTTTCTTCTTGTTTGAGCTACTACTTTGGGAGTCTTTGTTAATGCTATCAGAGCAGAGTTCCCAAATAAAGCCGTTATAATCTGACATCCTATAAGGTAAATCTAGAAACTATGGAGCCTCTGGGAGCTCACCCGAAATGTTAACATTCATAATGGTTCTAAGGGGGAACACACAAAGTAGTACTCATTAGTTGACATAATGGAGGACATTTAGTATTCATTAGTCTTTGAAAGGTCTAGCAAATATATAACACTTTCTGTTATTTTATTCCTTTTAGTTATTTCAAACTAACAGTTTTACAAAGTTTATTTTCCTCATTTTTTGGATTAGTGTATTTTCTAGCCTTCAATAAAAACCTAGCCTCTCAAAATATATAAATCTTATGTATTTTGAAATGTTTCTAAGTGTTGGTGTCTCAGTTGTAAAGCACCAGCATGACCAAGTCAACTTATAAAAGAAAGCATTTAAATGTGGTCTTGTTCACCGTTTCAGTGGGCTGGCCCTTGACAACACCATGGCAGGGAGTATAGCAGCAGGCAGGCATCAGCTTTAGCTGATGAGATTACAGTATGAAAGATAACCATAAAGGATGAAGCTTTCAGGTCATAGTCAACTTGATTTTTCCTTGCTCTATGACTCAAGTATACAGTGTCTTCAGAAACAGGGACTGGGAACCAGGGTGATCCAATGCTTTTCCTGATGCCCTGATACATAAAGAAGAAATGTAGTTCCTTGTTACTAAAACCAGGAATATGCTTGGCAAGGCTAGTAATGGCCTGAAGCCAGGGCCTTGGGGGAACAGTAACTTCTGATCCTGGGAACTTAAATCCTCCCCCCCAAAGGAGCTAAGTTATCAATCCCCAGGCCACTGTGTGCTCAGTCTGTGCGCACCTGAGATATCCTGAACTCCTTTTTAAACTACATTCCTTGATTAGCTTCCTGCTGACTTCCTCCCACTGTATGATAGCTTTCTGCTGATTCTGTCCCATTTTCCCCTGCAAACTATATATAAGATGCTGTACTTCTTGCATAAGGCATCAGCTTATGCAAGACCTCCTAACCCCAACTTCCTTGTCTTCTTTACTTTTCATCCCAGGTCCACCTGGTCACAGACCTGTCACTGAAGAACAGGCTGCCGGTTCAGGCTGATAGGTTCTTACCATCTATTATGGTTAGAAAAGCAATCATCAATCCTGCCCATCTGTGAACGCTGCACGCTAAAATAATGACTGGCTAGCCAGTTTGTGCACTGCTGCAACAGTGGCACAAACATAATGGGAAAACCCACTACTTTCTGAATGAGTTTACAGCACTCTCCACAACACAGTACCCATACCTAGAACCATGACAGAGATAAGAATCTGCAGCTAAACAGGTCACAGATCTAGGGGAGAACAGTTAAGTGACACAGAAGTAAAATCCTAATGACTTAGTATTATATGCATAGACTGATGCATCTCTCAAACTTCATCAGGAAAGCTTCTATTTACAATACATAGTGATTAACAAAGAGACCAACAACTGACCAAGGTACAGAGAGTAAGAGACTAAGGAATGCTCAACCCTAAATGGGCCATCTGTATCAAATGCTCTCCTCTCAAGGTTCAGAGATCATTGTTTAAGAGAAGAAACACTGTAAGAGTCAGAGGTGGTTGATAAATACAAGGAAGCAATATCCTCCAGACATGGAAAGGCAGCTGTACATATGAACTCAAAGTAATTGTGACAAATGCACAAACCACATGCAAGTTTAAATCAGACCAAATACTAGCATGAAGAGGGGAGGTGGAAGCCGGGCGGTGGTGGCGCACGCCTTTAATCCCAGCGCTCGGGAGGCAGAGGCAGGCGGATCTCTGTGAGTTTGAGACCAACCTGGTCTACAAGAGCTAGTTCCAGGACAGGCTCCAAAACCACGGAGAAACCCTGTCTCGAAAAACAAACCAAAAAAAAAGAGGGGAGGTGGACACCAAGCCCTGCCCCTACCTGAGGAACTACTGGCAATTATAGTTGCTGGAAGAGGGAGAGTTAGCTTTTTTTTTTTTTTTTTTTTTTTTTTTTAAGAGTGTCACCTCTTGGTCAACTATGCTCTGGTGGAAGGCCACACATCTGAGGATATACAGATAGCACAAATTGGATTTAATGTGGAAATTTGAAAAAAAAATAAAAGCACAAAGTTAAGTGGATAGAGAAGGGAAATGGACCTGCAAGTATGGAGAAAATAAGCATGATCGAAATACACTGTATGGAACTCTCAAATACTAAAATAGTAAGTAAACAACACAAAGAAACAGCTAAGCTAGATTCAAACAGATAATCAGTGTCAGGATTTACATGATCTTTATGAAACCTTCTCCCTGGGGATGGGATTTAGGCTGATACCATCCTCCACTATATGAATGCCACATAATTAAATGTTACTAAAACAAAGTCCTATTTTCTTTATTCCTCTACATTACCAAGATGTCACTGCACAAGGAATAAATAGTGAAAGAATCGTCTACCAGTTCAAGTAGAGAATCTCAGTGACTCAAAGCAAGGCTTATTAAAATAAAGATAGACTCCCTGAGTTCAAATCCCACATATACCATTTTACTTGGTGTGATAGTTTGAATAAGAGTGGCCCCCATGGGCTCATAGATGCTTAGTCATTGAGAGTAGAACTCTTTGAGAAGGATTAGAAAAGCATTGTCTGAGTAGGTGTGGCCTTGTTGGAGAAAGTATGTCACTGGGGGTGGGATCTAAGGTTTCAAAAATCCATGCTAGGTCCCATTTTCTCACCTGACCTGTGGATCAGGATGTAGCTTTCAGCTACTGCTCCAGCACAATGCATGCTTCTATGATGATAAATGGACTAAACCTCTGAAACTGTAAGCAAGCGTCCAATTAAATATTTTCTTTTATAAGAGTTGCCTTGGTCATAGTGTCTCTTCACAGTAATAAACAGTGACTAAAACACTTGGAATTGGATCAAATACAAGTTCTTGAACTTTTTTTCGAATGAGAGACGGTTATATTAAAAGTATCCATCTGTCTTGGGTTGTCTGATTAAGAAAGATCATATATGTAAAGACTTCAGGAGATTACAAGACAAATAACTGCTCAATGTGTTAGATGTTAAATTAAAGCTTTTAGGAAACTCACCTAAGTTGTACCTTCTCAGATTTGTGGTAATAAAATTTTAACAAAGATTTTTCAGTCACTGCCAGAATTTTTATTAGAAAAAAAATCCCAGGAAACATACTAAAATGCAAGCTGCCAAGGGAGGGAAGCAATCAGTAGTCCTGCCCCGCTGTCACACTTGGGAACCACAACAATGGCCAGCATGGCAAAATACTCATATTGGTGCAGGCACCCAACTCAACAAAACCAGGAGGAAAAAAAGAAAAACCCTCAAGAAACAGCAAACAGAAGACTTCAAATTTGTATGATTAATATCTTCAGAAGAACAAATTGGTAAGCATGTACAGGTATCTGCATATATATGCAGTTGATATGAAAATGAAAAAAAAACAAGACACTAAAAATTTTAAATAGCTCAAATAAACAGTCTGTGCTATTTGGAAAACACTTTAGCACAAATCAGTCTGTTGGAGAATGCTGATGTAAGAAATTCTAATGTAAACTGCTTGATTTTGTTTGTTTCAAAGAGCTGTGTGACATGTAACATTTATTTAATATCTTCTCAGCAGAGTTCCAAAGACCAGATAGGATAATGACCAAGGAAATGGGAAGAGCTATAGAAATAGAAAAGAACCCTGGTGGAGAACAGAGGGGGAAATGTCATCTTAAGTATATTTAAAAGTCAACTAATGATGGAGGAAGGTCATTGGCTAATAAAAGAACTGCCCTGGCCCATTTTATTGGTTAGAAGATAGGTGGGAGGAGAAAACAGAACAGGATACTGGGAGGAAGAGGAAGTGAGCTCAGAGACTCCACAGCTCTCCGCTAGGGAGCAGACGCCTGAGAGAGAC